TGGAAAAGGAACAAGAGTTGAATTTCCTTTGCAATTAATCCATACTGACATCTGTGGTCCAATGAATGTAAAAGCAAGGCACGGGTCTGTTTATTTCATCACGTTCATTGATGATCATACTCGATTTGGACATGTCGATTCGATTTCTCATAAGTCCGAGGCTTTAAATTGCTTTAAAAGATTTATGAGCTTAGTGGAAAATCAATTAGACAAGAAAATAAAAGCATTAAGATCCGATCAAGGTCGAGAATATATGTCTGATCAGTTCAGAAATTTATGTGATGAAAAGGGAATAGAAAGACAACTGATTATTCCATATACTCCTCAACAAAATGGTATTGCGGAAAGAAGAAACAGAACCTTAATGGAAATGGTTAGATCAATGATGGCACAAGCTAACTTGCCCATCACCTTTTGGGGTGATGCTTTGTTGACCGCTGCCTACATACTTAACTGTGTGCCTTCTAAATCAGTTGCTTCTACTTCATATGAGTTATGGACAGGCAGAAAGCCTGATTTAAGCTTTCTAAAACCTTGGGGTTGTGTTGCCTATACTCGTGAGTCTTCTCACAAGTATGGAAAATTAGGCCCAAGAGGCAAAAAGAGTATTTTTATAAGATACTCAGAGCACTCAAAAGGATATTTATTCATAGGTGAGCAAGAAAGCGGAAGTATAACTGAATTTGAATCACGGGATGTCACATTCTTAGAGAATGAATTTCCTAAAAAGGGCGAAGTAGGTGTTGATTACTCACTATACGAATCTGTGAATCGTGATAGTGAAGTTAGTGGGAGCATTGTGACAAATGGAGAGTTGAATGCAAACCAGTCTCAATTGCAACCACTTAAAGAGACGACACCACCATTATCTAATTCGAGTGGGAGCGCAATGGAACGTGGTGAATCATCAGGAGTACAGCATTCCATACGACAGTCAAGTCGTAATAGGATTCCCCGTCGATGTTTTGACATTAAAGGAGAAGCTTTCATGATCGCCCCACAAGATGAAGATGAACCGAAGAATGTGAACGATGCTCTAAAGTGCCCTGATAAGGAAAAATGGATACATGCAATGGAAGAAGAAATGGAGTCATTAAGATCAAACCAAGTTTGGGAATTGGTTGACCTTCCAAAAGGATGCAAAGCCATTAGGAATAAGTGGGTTCTCAAAATAAAGCATAAGGCTGATGGCTCAATAGAGAGGTATAAGGCTCGCCTTGTGGCGAAAGGATATAATCAACAGGAAGGAGTTAACTTTGAAGAAACTTTTTCTCCTGTGGTTAGATTTACCTCTATACGCCTTATTCTGGCAATAGTAGCTCGTTTGGATCTTGAATTGCATCAAATGGATGTAAAGACTGCATTCCTCAATGGAGAATTAGAGGAAGAAATTTATATGGAACAACCTGTTGGTTTCATTACAAAAGGCCAGGAGCACAAAGTGTGTCGACTATTGAGGTCGATATATGGCCTTAAGCAGTCTTCGAGACAATGGTATATACGTTTTCATAATGCCATAATGGCATATGATTTTGTAATGATTAGTGAAGACAATTGTGTATACATCAAAAGATCCAAAGATCAATTTGTGATCTTATCATTATATGTTGATGATATACTAATTGTTGGAAGCAGTATGGAGTTTGTTAATACGGTCAAGAACTGGTTATCTTCCAATTTTGAGATGAAGATATGGGTGAAGCTGCATACATTCTTGGAGTTAAGATTTTAAGAGATCGCTCAAAGAAATCCCTATCCCTATCCCTTTCACAAGAGACATATGTGAATAAAATCCTTAAGCGATTTCGTATGCAAGACTGTAAACCAATAGATACTCCTATTGCAAAGGGCGAAGCATTAAGCGACAGAATGTGTCCTAAGACTTCACAAGAAAAGGAGCAAATGGAACAAGTTCCATATGCTAGTGCTGTCGAAAGCTTGATGTACGCTATGATGTGTACAAGACCTAATATTTGTTATGCAGTTGGAATGGTAAGTAGATACCAATCCAATCCAGGTCAAGCACATTGGATCGCCGTCAAAAGAATCCTGAGATATCTAAAGGGAAGTGCCGACTATGCGCTGACTTATCAAGGAAGTGATATACACCTTGAAGGCTATACTGATGCTGACTGGGGAGGAGATTTAAAAGAAAAGAAATCTACTTCTGGATATGTGTTCTTACTGAATAATGGCGCCATATCTTGGAGCAGAAAGAAACAACAGTGTGTAGCCTTATCTATAATGGAAGCCGAGTTCGTGGCTCTATCAGCAGCGACACAAGAAGCTGTTTGGCTTAAAAGATTTTTGGATCACTTAGGTGTTACTGAGAATGCTGCAAACCCAGTATTGGTCTATTGTGACAGCCAAGCAGCAATAGCGTACCCTAAGGATCCCAAGTACCATGGAAAGACCAAACATATAGATATCAAATATAACTATGTCAAGGATATGGTTGCATGAAAGGAAGTGAACGTGAAGTACATATCTACACAAAGGATGATAGTAGATCCTATGACAAAGCCGATTCCTAGAGAAGTTTTCCATGGTCATGTGAGATCTCTAGGACTATGTAGAATATGATGTACTGAATATTGTAATTTTCCCAGAATGTTCACTATTAATGAAGTTTGTTATTATCAATGCCTATAAGTTTGTAAGACGTTTGTGAATGTCGATGCTGAATGCATTATATTGAAAAGGTATGTCGGACAGATGAGAGATTAGCCCACTCACACGGGTAATCGCCTCTTCTCACTGTGTGATGAATAGAGATGAGACAGCTTTAAGCTTGTTATCTATGTGATAATTGAGAGCTCAAGCTTGAAGCATGGACGTCGCCTTAAAAGAATGTTAAGATGAGGACATATATATTATTATGTCCGAAAGTGAAATGACCCACATATTTCACTTTACCTGTCTTTAATGCCATATGTGAGTTCTGATAGACGCTTATGAATAGAGTAGATTTGTGAACTCAAGTTAGGCATTGAGTATGTCTAAACTATCATATGTACGGTATTGAGAGTAAAGACATACGCTCTATGGGAAAAGGAGAAAATACCGTAATACGTATTTCATATTACGTATGCATAGGGCGACCGATAAGAGTTGGCAAAAATTATGATCTCAATTTTTAAGTCGTATGAGACTCTTGAGAAAAAATAGTTTTTCTCAATTAAAGTGCCCTCACGACTCTTACTTATTCTCAAAATTTCTATTCAGTGTTTGCTATCTTAGGATGTTGCCGATGATCATGATAATTCGGTCTAACGGGGCATTTCTAGAAAAGCGAGTTGGATTGAAATGGAGAGGTTTAAGGAAAGAGGAAGATCAATTTAATTTATGATGTCACATTCTATATTTGTATTCACAGATCGACCAATTATGATTTTGAGTAAATCATGGTTGTGAATACAATATACGAGATACTAAAAGAGATCAAGAGAGATAAAAAATGTGACTGATTGATCTAGGGAACTGCATACTAATTCTACTCTGGATAATGCCTAATTTGAGCTGTTATATATTCCTAACAGATGTATAATAACGAGCTCTCATAGTATGCTGGTCGCACGGATTATTTGCCAATATGAACTTTGCAAGGAAGAGAGTTGTGTTTAGCCCATCGTGGGCGAGTAGGAGATGAAAGACATAATGGGTGGATCGCCCAAGATGGGCCAAACCGGGCCCGTGAGCCACAAGGGCCCACAAGGTAGTTATTTGCCTATCACTATAATAGAAAGCACCCCTTGGAAAAACTAACGTGTTTTTCATATGCAAACACACTCTTTCGAACATAACGTTTTCTCTGTTTTTGCTTCGGAACGCAAGCGAGTACGAAAGACAATCGAAGAACTCTCAAGCGCAAAGTGGCACTTAATCTGTGACAATACCGGGTATGTTCGTTGTGTGATATGCCTGTACGATCGGTGATACAAGTTGATGGTCATCGGGCACGTTTTCCGCATTGATCGAATTCGTTCGAATATGTTTCGAATGTGTCGATCGGGGATTGAGTTTTCCCAACAACATGTATAAATGTTAACACATACATTGATATTTTTTTTCAATCCGGGAGACAAAATTTTCACAATATATAAAGGTCAACGTGTACATTAATATATATATTTTAATTATTTAGATAATATTTTAAATTTTGGTGGGAAAAAAATAGTTTTTGCTCTTATTCAATGCAAAATAAATAGTCAATTTATCTTATATTCATCTATTTTATTGGTCGAATATATTTAAAAAGAATTTAAAGACACTTTTATCCATTTCACAATTTTAAATTGAAAATTTTTTAAAAAGGGGCCCAAAGTGGAGTCATTTTCTCAAAGAAGGACATGAAGTGGACATTATCTTAAATAATGGCTTGAAGTGGCCAAATCGTCTCAAATAAGGACCTTTGGCCTGCCGGTGACTATTCCGTCGCCGGAGAAGGGGTATTTTATTAAAAAAAAAATTTATGGTTAATATCATGAAAAACCCTAAACTGGTACACTTGTGACAAATTTACCCCAAACTATTTTGTTTGACCACAAAAAATCCCAAACTGGTACACCTGTGACAATTTTACCCCGAACTATTTTTTTTACCACAAAAATTCACAAACTGGTACACATGCTACAATTTTACCCCGACCTAATTTTTTAATATTATTTTTATTTTTTCGAATTTTTTTTACTTTTCCTTTCCTTTTCTTTTTTTTTTCCCTTCATCTTCTTTATCTTCAACCTATGGCTGGTCACCGGTCTGGCGGCCGGCCAGAGACGGGGGCAGACGAGGTCGGCCCCGCCGGCCGCTGGCGAGGCCGACCTCGCCAGCAAATGGCGAGGTCAGCCTAGCCCACCCCTGGCGAGGTTCGACCTTGCCAGTTGCCGGCGAGGGGTCATCCTCGCCGTCGCTGGCGAGGCCGACCTCGCCATCGCTTAGAAACCAAATCAATGGCCAGCGCAACAAATCAGAACGCCACAATAGGCGGGGATTTGGCGTACCGTCTTGGATCGGCAGGGCTTCCCGCAGGAGCTGCAGACGAGATTGAGGACGGCCTCGGTGGACTTGAAGAAGTTCGAGTGAGAGGTGAGCTCGGCATGCCCTTGAGCTTCCTCCACAGACTTCAAGAGGGCGCCGCAGTCGCCGCACTTGAGAGAGACGCCGGCCATGGCTCCGGTCCTTCGATCGGGGAAGGGAAAATCGAGAGAGAAACGCTTCGCGCTTAGAGCGATGTGGCTTCGCAATCGCCAGACAGAACGGTTGGGATTTCGCCGTCGCTGGCAAGGACGACTCCTCGCTGGCAAGGACGACCCCTCGCCGGCAACTGGCGAGGTCGAACCTCGCCAGGGGTGGGCAAGGCCGACCTCGCCAGTTGCCGGCGAGGTTGGCCCCCACCTCTAGCTCGGCGGGGCCGAGCCTCGCTAGCGATGGCGGCGAGGACGACCCCTCGTCGGCAACTAGCGAGGTCGAACCTCGCCAAGGGTGGGCAAAGCCGACCTCGCCATTTGCCGGTGAGGTCGGCCTCGCCAGCGGCCAACGGGGCCGACCTCGTCGGCCCTCGTCTATGGTCAGTCGCCAGACCGGCGACCGGCCATAGGTTGAAGATAAAGAAAATGAAGGAAAAAAAAAGAGAAAAGGAAAGGAAAAAAAAAAGACAAGAAAAAATAAAATAAAATAATTCGAAAAAATAAAAAATAATATAAAAAATTAGGTCGGGGTAAAATTGTCGCAGGTGTACCAATTTAGGGTTTTTGGTGGTAAAAAAATTAGTTCAAGGTAAAATTATCGCAGGTGTACCAGTTTGAGGATTTTTTGTGGTCAAAAAAATAATTTGAGGTAAATTTGTCACAAGTGTACTAGTTTAGGGTTTCTCGTGGTATTAACCCAACAAATTATAAGTATATTTTTTTTATTTTTTTTCACTTTCTTTTTCTTTTCCCTTTTTTTCTACTTCCCCAGCGGTCACTGCATCTAGCCAGTAACAGCCTCAGGCGAGGGCCGCCAGGGTCGGGCGAGGGTCGCCTCTCCTAGGCTAGGCGAGCAAGGGCGACCCTCGCCAGATCCGGCGAGGGTAACTCTCGCCCTCGCTTGGGCTAGCGATAGCGGGGGTCACCCTCGCCAGATCTGGGGAGAGTCGCCCTCTCCCGCCCAGCCGCAGCGAGGTGACCCTCGCCCGACATCGGTAAGGGCGAGGGTTGCCCTCGCCGGATCTGGTGAGGGTCGCCTCGCTTGGGCTGGGCGGGCGAGGGCGATCCTTGGTAGGCCAAGCGAGGGCGGCCCTCGCTCGACGCCGGGGAAGAGAGGGAAAAAAAAAGAAAAATAAAAGGAAAATAAAAAGAAAAAATAGAAAAAGGAAAAAGGAAAGAAAAAAATTCAAAAAAGTAAAAAGACGAAAACACCCTTTAGCCTATGAAGTCAGGTCCTTATTTGAGACTGATATGACCACCTCAGGCCCTTATTTGAGACAAGATTTACTTCAGGCCATTATTTAAGAAAATGATGATACTTCAAGTCCTTATTTGAGATAAGGTCCACTTCATGCCCTTATTTGAGAAAATGACTTCACTTCGGGCCCCTTTTTGGAATTTTCCCTTTTAAATTTTAATAAGTGACGGACATTTGATGCTATTAAATTGCTAAACAAATGTTATTTGGCCAATTATGAACCATGGCAATCACAGAGGCAAAGTTAAGAGCTCCGCTGTGAGCAGCAAACATTTTCTCAGCTCAAATTTTAACTATAAAGGATTACAGCCCCAATACATGTATTTGAATTGTCAGCTAGACAACCTTACATGTTGCCTTTGAACCAGAGGCGACAGATGTTACTTCGTCGCATTTGAGACCGAATTATCTTTTGTCACCTTTGGCATCCAAGATGACATGTCATCTTGCCTTAGGGTGTGCAAAGAAATCGGGAACTGTTTGGACCACCTGAAACCAGACCGGACCAGTCCGAAACCGGCGGTTCCTGTGAGGACTGGTCCGGTTCCCGGTTCTAATTTACTAGAATCAGTGAGTACAGATCCGGTTTCCGGTTCTAGACGTGGAACCTCTCACCCGAACCGGACCGGTAATATATATATATATATACATGTTTAATTTTTAAGAAAAATTTCAACCAAAAAAAACAAAACATTTCTAGAAAAATTAAAACCATGAAATCCCTAATTTAAAACTCGACTCTCAACTCCCATCAACTCACCGCCATGCCTCTAACCGTTCATCGCCTCCCTCTCTTGCTCTCGGTCACCTCCATTTACGTGAAACTTGGCGGGACCAGTTCCATGGACCCACCCGGGAACTGAACCGCCCCGGACCGGCAGTCCGGTTCCCGGGTGGATCCATGGAACCAACAAACGGTTCCCGATTCCAATTTCTCGAAACTGGTCCTTAGTGAGCGGTTCCTAGTTCCATGTTGGGAACTACCCGCCTGGACCATGCTCACCCCTAATCTTGCCTATGGTACCAAAAGACGATAAAAATACCTTCAGTACCAAAGGCGTCAAAATAGAAAAATTCGTCGATCAACGAACCAAACACTATTTGTAACAAATATAGGCTTTGCCCATTTTTGTTGTAGTGTATAATTTTTTGGTGATGACCGATATATTCTTATTGATTCTTCAATTATAATTTATTGGGAAAATTCCATTTTGGTACCCCAAATGGAAGCGTTTTCTCAATTTGGTACCCAAAGTGGACATAGTGTCAAATAAGGGCCTGAAGTGCCTAATCAGTCTCAAATAAGGACCCGAAATGCCCAAAAAGTCTCAAATAAGGGCCTGGGTTGCGGGCCGGCCAAAATGCCTGCTGGCCGGCAAGAATGTTACTGTTCCGGTACCGGAACAATAACTTTTTTATTATTTTTTCCTTTCTGTTTTTTTTTCCTTTTCCTTTTCTTTTTTTTTCTTCTCTTCCTCCGCCGGCCATAACTGGGGCCGGCGGAGGTCGCCCGCCTCAGGTGGAGGCTGCCCTCGCCGGCGTCGGGCGAGGGCCGCCCTCGCCTGGGCTGGGCGAGGTCAGTCTCGCCAGTTGCCGGCGAGGTCGAGCCTGGCCAGATCTGGCGAGGGCTCGGCCCCGCCGGTCGCTGGTGAGGCTCGACCTCGTCGGCGTCGGGCGAGGCCGGCCTCGCCATTGTAGGCGAGACCGACCTTGCCCGACGCCGACGAGGTCGAGCCTCGCCAGATCTGGCCAGGCTCGACCTCGCCGTTGCTGGGCGAGGCCAACCTTGTCGGCGTTGGGTGAGGCCGGTCTCGCCATTGCAAGGCGAGACCGGCCTCCCCCGATGCCGGCAAGGTCGAGCCTCGCCAGTGACCGGCGGGGCCGAGCCCTAGCCAGATCTGGCCAGGCTCGACCTCGCCGGCAACTGGCGAGGTTGACCTCGCCCAGCCCAGGCGAGGGCCGCCTCCGCCTGAGGCGGACGACCTCCGCCGACCCCGGCTATGGCCGGCGGAGGAAGAGAAGAAAAAAAAAAAGAAATAGAAAAGGAAAAAAAAAACAGAAAGGAAAAAATAATAAAAAGGTTACTGTTCCGGTGCCGGAACAGTAACATTCTTGCCGGCCGGCAGGCATTTTGGCCGGCCGGCGACCCAGACCCTTATTTGAAACTTTTTGGGCACTTCGGGTCCTTATTTGAGACTGATTGGGCACTTCAGGCCCTTATTTGACACTGTGTCCACTTTGGATACCAAATTGAGAAAACGCTTCCACTTGAGGTACCAAAATGGAATTTTCCCTAATTTATTTATTAAATATGGGCTTGGCTCCATGTCACACTAGCTTTAACCACTTGATCATATATATACATACGACTGAGTGTCATACATTTTCAAGCCTGTCTGCTGTCTGAATAGGCTTTCTTAGCAATTATGAAGATACCTGCATATTAAAAGACCCTGACCAAGTTGTCTACGAATTGTTTGGATGCGTTAGATTTCGCTTTCGAACCACAACCGTCTCTCGATCAAAATAACTTTGAGTGGCACGCAATCACCATGCGAACGGAGTCCTGTCATCGCATGTTGACGGATTCGATTTAATGATATGGACATATCAATCATATTGACCATCTTTGTGGGCATTCAATGGAGTATTTGATTGCCCTTGGTCTTCCACGGTGCCTAAAGCACACAACCCTTCGACAACGACCTGCGTGTGAATTCTCTGACCCTAGACCACACAAAACACTAAACTAATCAAGCCACTCCAAGAATACAGTGAAAGCATGAAGCTCTACATAAACCTCCCAAATTTCACTTCTCTCCACGCACCAAATAAACTCACTTCCAAGAGTTCAAATTCGGATATTTGAACATGAAGAACCTTGCAACATCTTTTCACAATGCTCTCTTCCTTGTTATAAGCTTCGCCTTCGTTTCGTCTTCTTCCCATGCGAACTCATGTAATGGCCCCTGTCAAACACTTAGATGATTGTGATGGCCAGTTGATTTGCATCAATGGAAGGGAAGGTGCACCGACGACCACCAAGGGGGCACACACATATGCGGTAATGCGCCTCCATCTCCATCTAGTGGCGGATGTCGGCCTTCAGGCACTATGCATTGCAAGGGACACTCATACCCTAAATATGATTGCTCTCCAAGAGTGACATCGTCAAATCGGGCGACCTTGACGAATAATGACTTTAGTAAAGGAGGTGATGGCAGTGACCCATCGGAGTGTGACGATAGCTACCATGAAAACTCCAAGCTAATTGTTGCACTATCGACTGGGCGGTATGCCGGCGGATCTTGATGTGGAGATAAGGTTAGGATAACGTCCACGAAAATTGGGAGAAGCATGATGGCTAAAGTGGTCGATGGATGTGACTCGAGGAACGGGTGTGACGATGAGCATGACTATCAACCACCGTGTAGGAACAACATCGTTGATGGATCGGATGTGTTGAGAAAACTTCCTAATATGTTTTGAAGATTGACAAAACCTTCTATAGTATCTTTTGAGTTTGACAAAAGTATTTTCAGGTGATGAAGAAACATATTCAGACTCTAGTCATTGTTATTTGAATATTGTGTATGAAGTTCTCGTTGTTTACTTTGTGGAGATCAAACATGTTATGGATATCATTAGAGTAATACGAAGACATCACCAAAGCTTGAACGTGAATATTGTCAAGACGTTTGGCCTCTTCAGACTCTATGCGAAATCCATTCAGACTTAGGGAGTATTCAAACTCAAACAATATCATCGGATTAAGAAGTTTATTCAAACTTGGAATGAAAATTATATATCGCAACAGTGAGCAATCTAGCTTGGATTTCTTCCATATAATATGATGATTGATCTTCTATACTAATGATTGTTTTGCAACGAACTTACTCAAAGCAAAGCATCTTTAATTGATTGATAATCATCCTTAGACAAGATATTCTTTCCAAATGAAAAACTCTACTTATGAATACCCAGCTTTAGTTGTATGAGCGACTGGATCAATGGGGGGTTCTAATTTCATCACTCAATAGCTACTCAATCTCCATGAAGAATTTATATCCAACTGATTGATTGGAGATTGATCCTCTAAAGACTATCTAATGGCTTGATAGGAAGTGGGGGAGTATAAAAGGAGATCCTGGTACTAAAGAGAAGAAGAGAGGTCATGAATATGAAATTCGAAAGTCAAAGAGAGCTTCTACCTTACACACTTGTCTTAGTGAGCTTCAAAAGTGTAATTTTTAAGAGGTATAAAAAGAGTAACTCTAAAAGAGTGAAGCGAATGACTCTGAAATAGTGAGATGAGTGATTTTGAGATAGTGAAACCTATCAAGATTGAGTGTTATTACTCTCATCTGTAACATCTGATTGATTTACAAGTGAAATCCAACCAGTAGGCTAACTGCGTAGAAAGTAGACGTAGGCTTGTAATAAGCCGAACCATTATCACTTTTGCATGCAATTTACTCTATCCATTAACTCTTTACTATTATCATTGATAGTATATTGTACACAAATGAATCTGATTACAACATAGTTTCAATTCAAACTCTATCTTCACATGATGCTAATCTTGATTGTTTAATTCTGGTTTAATTTGTCAAGTTCAATCATAATTACCTATTCACCCTACTTTAGGTGATAGTGCTAGCCACCTTAGGATGCCATAAGGCCGGAAGGAATTGGCAGAATTTGGTTAGGTCACAATGAGGGGGGACCAGGTCATGCGTGCTTTAGGGTTGGACATAGACGTGAGTGAAGAGGATGTGGTCTGGTCCATGGCATAGAATGGTGGGTCTGCTATAAGCTCTCGATTGAGTGAAATTGAAAGTATAAAAGGAGCTCTAGCCATTAGTAATCTACCTATAATACGATTGTGGGTCTCCGTACGATAGCACTGAATGTGTATGTTGACATTGAAGGTCATCAAATTGTTTGGTTACATATGTACTTCAGAACATAGTATATTGTATCCTAGTTATAATATTCATCTTTTGCTGTCAGAAAGGAATAAATACTTCGTCTCATGACATCTGAAACATAATGATGTAAAATAGTTAAGCTACCTTGATTTTCTTTTGTCCGTAAAAATTGCGTGAATGACATTACTTTTTTTAAATCTAAAATGAATGAAGTTCGACTGTCATTTTACAATTTTTCCTATATTATGAATAGGTTTGATTTAGTTAGATTTCATCTTTTAAATTTTTGCATTGGGTAATGTAATTTGGATTTTATTGATGCAAATCTTTAACTATAGCTTCTTTTGTTTCATTCAGTCATCTCATTATACTCACTTTATGTATCCTACGGACAAATGAAAAAACTAAAAAAGGATACAAATGAATAAGTTTGGATCCACAGCTTTAAATCTTAATTAACAAATTAAGAGCAATTTGTTAGTGAAAATGAGATGTATTTTGTGACACCCAGGACCCACTCGTAACGATATTGTCTGCTTTGGGTTGGAGGCCACACAATTTTGTTCTTCTGGGCTTCGCCCCACACCCAGGTGATGTGAGATTCGGTTCATTCATGTCCCCTTCGCCATCCTCGAAGCCTGCTAGAAGCCGCTCATTGTCCAGGCCCTATGGCCTCGGCGACCACTCCCCACCCTCGTAGGACTGGATCATTACAGACCCTCCAGCTTCCACCTGATTCGTTCCCAAACCACACACTTCCGGCTGGGCTTGGCTCTAATACCACTGTGACGCCCAAAGCCCACTCGTAACGATATTGTCCGCTTTGGGTCGGAGCCGGTACGATTTTGTTCTTCGCCTAGAAAAGGCATCGCCACAAGTTAAGATAAGTGCCGCAATATATATGGCACTTCACCTCACCACACTCAACCGATGTGGGATTCGATTCATTCCAGTCCCCTTCGCCATCCTCGAAGCCTGCTAGAAGCCACTTCTTATCCAAGCCCTCTGGCCCTAACGATCACTCCCCACCCTTGCTAGACCGGGTCGTTACATATTTAGTCATGTAGAGGGTAGATATAAGCCCCATTTACATTTATCCTCCGATACGTTAACTTGCCTTTGGAGTATCAAAACTCGGTAGCAAGACTTAGAAATGCATACATGTTAATTTGACAGCTTTTGTGTTTGATACAATCATATTTTGTTGGGTTGTGCTCAATTCTCTTTTGGAAAAAAATATCTGCAACCGCTTTCAACTTGTATTCCACGAAATGAAATGAACACATATCACGGACCGATGTCATAATCAAGCGCCCCTGTCCCGACGGGGACTTGGTTTGGTCACAGCCGTGTGTGACCTAGCTTGTGCACAAGTCACGGCCGTGACCATCATTCGCGGTGCACATGCTAGTTCACGACCATAATTTGGCAGTGACCTAGTGTTTAGGCCGGATAACGGGTCGTGGATGACCGATGAGGCCCGTCGGTGTTAAGGGTAGGGGCGGTCCAGACCATCGCGGTCGCAGTCAAGGTGTGGAATTGGCGTTTTTGTGATGATTGGAATTTGTGTTGCAGAGATAATTAGTGTTAATCGTAATAATTAATGTTAATTTGTGGTTATTTTTGTATATTTATAATAATTTGTGTGCTTGGAATATATTGATTGTTGTATTCTTGTAATAATTGGTGTGAACTTGTATTCTATGAATTTTTCCTTTTTCTTAAATGTTGTGTGTGCACGTCGATATTGTGTCCGGTTGTTTGTCATTGCATATGTTATGTCTGGAATTACTAGAAATATACCGAAAAAATTAAATTATTCATTTAGCAAATTGTACCTTTTGCTATAGCTGAGCGTCTAACCAGGAGTGGGATCGACGTGTGGAAAAGCGAACTCTCTTAGTGGACTTTTCTATCAAATATGAAAAGGAATTGAGTATTAAAACTTTCAAAAAATATAATCAAGTTAAGATTTGTCGAATTGATGCAATTAAATCCTTCCATTAACTTTGTCAAACTTAGCTAATGGAAAATGCTAGCATGTTATTTTTTTCTCTCTCCTACGTGTCGTTAACATTACTAAAGTATAAAGCATAAGACAAAAATGACGTCGTTTTGGTCCAAATCCCAATTTTAAACCAAAATCTTAGTTAAATTAGATTAAGAAAAATATTATAATTTTTTTATAGAAAAAAGCACAAATAGAAGGGAAAATAAAAAACACAGACCCTCCCGCCAATGGTTTGCTGCCCCATTGTTGGAACTAGCCGCGCAGGCCCTCGCTAGTGGTCGGCGAGGGGCCGACAGTGATCGGCGAGGGTCATCGACCCTCAACAAAGCCTCGACAACCCTTGCCGACCCTTTCCCACGACAGAGCAGTAGCCCACAGGTGGAGGACCCGGCCATCCTGCATGTGTTTTTCTTTTGGGAAACTTTGAACCTTTTTATTATTATTATTATTTTAGATCAAAACGGCGTCGTTTTTGTATTTATGATTTATTCTTTAGTAATGTTAACGCCACATAGGAGAGCGAAAATAAAAAAAAAATCACGTTAGCATTTTCGTCATCTAACTTTGACAAAGTTAATAGAACCATTTGATAACACTAATTTGATAAATTTTAGAACTTAATTGTACTTTATGAAATTTTTAAAACTCAATTTCACTTTTCTAGTGCAATTATCCCAATATGAAAATAAGAAAAAGATAATTACCATTAAATTCCAATTAGAAACAAACCATCGAAATGTCTAAGGCGAAGTAAATAAAAATAAAGGTTAATAATACAAAAAAAACCCCAAATTGGTACATCTGTGACAAATTTACCCCAAATTAATTTTTTGACCACCAAAAACTCCAAATTGGTACACATGTGACAAATTTACGCCAAACTAATTTTTTTACCACAAAAAATCCCAAACTGGTGCACTTGTGACAAATTTGCCCTCCGTTAAATTGGATTAATACCCCAAAAAATCAAAACTTGGTAAATCCGTGACAAGCAGAGGAGTAAAACCCCAAATCGTACACCCGTCAATTATCACGAGTCATCCAACTTAATAATTTGACGGTAAAAGTTAACGAAAACTAACGGATGAAAAATTTATCATAAGTATATTAATTTAAAATTTTTTATGATAAAAAATTACATCGACTTAGGATTTTTTATTATATTAATCCTAAAAATTAAAAAACTCCCTGCTCAACGTGCAAAAGAATTGAAAAAGACGGCAAACTTCCCATCACCTCTGGTGCTAAGGTCTGTGGGCATTTAATGAAGTACTTGGTCGCCCGGGTCTTCCACGCTAGCTGAAGCACACAACCCCGCCCCGTAAGGCGCTGCACATGGTGGCTTGACAACGACCTGCGTGCGAATTCTCTGACCCTAGGCCACGCCAAACATTAGACAGACAACTCAAGCTACTCCAAGAACAAAGACAAAGCACGAAGCTCCATATACGCCACCTAACTTTCACTCTCTCCACACACCGAAAGATCCTACTTCCAGGAGTTCCAACTTAGCACATTTGAACATGAAGAACCTTGCCACATTTCTCGACATTGCTCTCTTCCTTGTCATTAGCTTCGCCTTCTTTTGGTCTCCCTCTCTTGGGAACTCATGTAATGGCCCCTGCCAAACACTAAATGATTGTGATGGCCAATTGATTTGCATCAAAGGAAGGTGCACTGACGACCCCCAGGTGGGCACACACATATGCAGCAATTCGCCTCCGCCTCTGCCTCTGCCTCCGCATCCGCCTCCGCCTCCGCCTCCCTCTAGTGGCGGATGTCAGCCTTCAGGCACTATGCATTGCAAGGGACACTCTTACCCTAAATATGATTGCTCCCCGCCGGTGACATCGTCGACCCAGGCCATCTTGATGATTTCTAACTTCAGCAAAGGAGGTGACGGCGGGGGCCCGTCGGAGTGTGATAGCAAGTACCACGAGAACTCTGAGCTGATTGTTGCGCTATCGACCGGGTGGTATGCAAGCGGGTCTCGGTGTGGAGATAGGATCAAGATAATGTCCACAAAGACAGGGAGGAGCGTGACGGCCAAAGTGGTCGACGAATGTGACTCCAGGAACGGATGCAACAAGTATGACTATCAACCACCATGCAAGAACAATATTGTTGTTGGATCCAATGCCGTGTGGCATGCGTTAGGGTTGGACATCGATGTGGGTGAAGAGAATGTGGTTTGGTCTATGCCTCAAGAAATAAAACTTGTGTGCATTATGAGTTCCTAAATCTTCACTTCTACCTTTTTGCATGATATGATTCTTTAAACAAATGTATGTGCGCTAATTAGTCCTGGTAGTATGCTCTGCACTTGTCATGATATAGAACCTTTGCATCAGAATCCTGCTACTATAAAACAATTCTAAGGTGCGAATCAAAATTCGAAAGGGGGCTTGGTGGTTAAAATGCAATCCCTTTTATAGAGGTCTGGAGAGCCGTTTGTGTGAGGGATAACATACCTGCCGCAAGCCTTATTTTCGTCTTCCCTAATTTGCATCTTAGCACCCCTTTACTGGCCATACAGCGATGAATTCGTTCCCGGGCCTTGTACACACTGCCTATCACACTATGGGAGCTAGCCATGCCCGAAGTCGTTACCTTCTTGAATTTGAAACTTTCTACACCAAAAATATTCTCTTAAACGAAGATAGAAGATCAAAAAATACGAAATTGTATCAACAATTATATACAAAAAATATGAGAATGATTTATGAATTTTTAATCAATCTCCGAGGTAAGGGGTTAAGAGATCTAAAACTGGAAAGGAACCCTCTCTTTCAAATTGAAAGTGTATGTTCCGCAATCACTTGTTCTTAACTTATACAAGTTACGAATTTGCGTTCATAGATCTTTGGGCTTCGATTATCGAGGAATAGAGACTTACAAATAAAGCCTGAGGATTGGCATTCCATTGCTGTCATTTTATATGTACATGGTTACAATTAGTAAAGGGGTGCTAAGATGCAAATCAGGGAAGAAGAAGACAAGGCTTGTCGCAAGTATGCTATCCCACACACAGACGGCTTTCCAAGCCTCTATAAAAGGGACTATCTTTCGACCACCAAGCCCCCTTCGAATTTTGATTCGCACCTTAGAACTGCTTTATAGTATCACGGCAAGTGCATAGCATACTACTAGGACTAATCAGTGCACATACGTTTGTTTAAAGAATCATACCAAGTAGAAAGGTAGAAGTTAAGATTTAGGGAGTCATCATGCACACAAGTTTTATTTCTTGAGACTTTTTAGGAGCAGATCCTGCCTCCAAACTTTACAAGCATTGTCTTATATAGGCACAAAAGTAGACAAATAGCTAATTATTGGTAAAGTTATGGAAGTCACCAATAATTTGACACTCTCTAACTGACTACAAAGGCTGACAGACGACTACAAAGACTTTTACAATTGACAGATGACTACAAAAACTTTTACAACTGATAGATGACTGACAGACTCATAATAAACTCTTGGACGACAGTTTTCCCGTTTGCTATAGTGCTGCTACAGTGTTGCTACAGTACTGCTATAGTGTCGAACTATGATGAACACTGACTGCTACAGTGTGAACAATACATTGCTAATAGTAACTTCCTGACAACAAGCCACTTTTTCAACCCCGCTTGGTACGTCTTCATAGGTCATATTTATGAATCAATTCTTCGGTATTATCGTCATCACAGCTGTCCGAACCACCTCCGTCTTTTTGTCTCATGTATTCTCTAAGGAGTCTTTCCACTTCTGTTATCTCTAGGCCCACGTCTTCATTAAGTTCTAAAGACTTTTGTCTTTTTTGTGGAGACTCATAGGAAGCACCTGGAATGTCTGCAGAACTTGAGGCGATATCAGCTGGACATGATGGAATAGCTGGCTGGGGAAAGCTTTCAATTGTCGAACCGTTTTTTTCGAGACCTACGCTGAGTGCAAGTTGTAGCTTATTGTAATCATGCAGGTTTTGCGATAGTGGACCTCCCCATGGATCCTGTGACTGTGGGGCTTGAGATGAGGACGATGCCTCTTGAGATGAGAATGAGGCAGCGGCATTTGAGGCAGCAACATTCATATCAGCTTGCATATCTATGCCATAATATTGTTCCAATGCTATGTCAATCACTGTCTGATACCTGTGATCAGCCGGATGATCCCAAGACATATTGCTAGAACTAGTTAGCTATACCTTTGGTGGTATCACTTGGTTGTATTGGCATATAAATCTCTGGAGCCCTCTATATTCCTGAGGAAGTGCCAAGATTTTGCATGGAAGAGTTTTGAAGAACTTCTCTGGAATCGGTTAAGGCTTGTATGTAGTTACTCCTACGTCAGCTGGAGTTTTACTCGCGTCTCCATTTGGACGAAACCATGGCCTGTGAAATAGGACTGTTGTATGCAACTCCGGATTGGGTCGACAGATTTTAAGTTGTTTCGGAAACATGCATTTCCAGGCTCCCAATGGTTTGAACCAATTAAGCATATCACCAAAATGCTTAAATTTCTTTTCTTCCGAGAGAATTCCGCCAATAATTAAAATAATTCTGGTTGTTGGAAACTCAATGGCTATGGTATAAACATTGAACATATACCAATAAAACCACTAGAATTTTTCTGGGAACTCGTCTTCAAGATTGAGAGAGATAGGATGGATGAAAGGATAATATGGATATAGTTCACTGGGTCTGAGACTTAATCCTCCATATCTGCAAAAAATCAGCAGCTGATATTTCCATATTAGTGATGGCAAATTTTCGAAAAGGGTGTTGTCTTGGATGTATGTAGGAACTTCCGGCAAGTACTGCCCGCTGGGCCAAGAAAGTTTCATCTTGGTGGGTTTAAATCCCCCGAATGGATTTCGAGACACATACATGTTTATGGATGTAATTGGTACAGCAAATTCTGTTGGCCGTGATAAGAAATCAGCAAGCACGTTCTTCTTTCCTGCTATATGCTTGGTTTCAAAGTAATATTTTGAAAACCATTCTGCCCATATAAGGAGTTGGGGATGAGGAATTTGATGTTGTTTGAACTTTAGCATTTGGGAGAAAGAGTACATATCTAGTTCAACTAGAAAATGATGGCCAAGAAGATGAAAATTCAAACTTCTTGATGCCATACCTTACCGCCAAGATTTTCTTGAAAGTAGAATAATAATGCATTTTGCTTTGCATAAATCTTCCACTTTTGTGTCCACAGATTTTGCGCTTTCCATTAATTTCTTCGAAAAGAACAACAGCCCAATATTCATCACTAGTATATGCCTGTAAAATTCTCTTCCCAATAGAAGGGATCTGCAGAGGAAGAAGATGTTGCAAAACTTTTTTGAGATGTCTAACTGATTTAGTCTATTGAGGTCCCCATAGAGGATCATATTTTTTGAGCATCTGCTGCAGTGGACTCACTAATTTGGTGATTTTGATAATGAAGTCTTTGAGATAATTGACTATCCCAAGAAACTGTTGAATCTGTTTGAGAGAAAGATTCTCATCAGGAAATTTCTACAATTCTTCAGCAATACGGGGATCAGGATAATATGACCCCTCCTTAAGATGCATTCCGAGAAATTCAATTTCTCGCCGAGCAATAATCATCTTTTTTCTGGGACAGCATAATGCCATATTTCTGGATTAATTCAGCAAATTGGCCTAGCAGTTTACAATGAGAATCATCATCAGGACTGTAGAGGAGGATATCATCACTGTAAATTTGGGCATTAGCCAAAATAGGCTGGAAGATTCTACACATAGTCTTTTGAAACAATGAAGGAGCAGTTTTAAGACCAAAGGGGAGCACTGTCCACTGAAAATGTTGATTGGGGATGCAAAATCCAGTCTTGTGCCTATCATCTGGATGAATTCCCAATTGCTAGAACCTGGCTTTAAGGTCAAATTTGGAATAGACCTTAACTTGAATTAGACTAGAGAATAACGAGTTCCAATGGGGTAATGGGAACTTATCATCTTGGAGGAACTGATTTGAGAGATTGGTAATTGATGACCAGTCTCATTTTCCCTCTGTTCTTCTCAGAACGCTTATTCACGTAAATGCTTCACAAGACCACCGGGAGTCAGATGGCTTGATTAATCCTTGATGGAGTAAGTCTGAGCATTCCTTCTGTGCCAAGAACAAATGGTCTAGATTCATTCCTGAATGAGTTGCTTTGGTGGGATTGATATCTTCATTTTTCATAAAAGGCAGATGAATGAAAAAGTCATGATTTTCCCACAAAGGGTTTGGACATTTAAGGATAAATTCTCAATGAAATTCTGCACATGCACCAAGAAGGGTTTGCATGATAGGATCTAGTATATTCATTTGGATAGCAAAAAATTGATGGATGTCCACAAACTCTTTGAATTGTCGTTTAAACCGGAGTCCATCAGACAAAATTCTAAGTTTTGGAATCCGGGTCAGGATTTCCCATCCAATGATGATCTTAGCACTTACAGCAGCCACAAGGTTATGAGAAGAAAGGGCATGAAAATCAAGTTTACAAGCTGAAGAAAACATTGTATGGGCTAAAATAGGCACCTCGTACTTGGCACACGTGGATCGACATGTACCCGTTAGAGCATGGTTTTCAAAAGTGCCCGTATAAACATACATTGTATATCAAGTCAAATACTAATGGTGACATAATAATTGTGTGCCTTTATATTTATGACTTGATATTTATAGGGAGCTGTGAAAAGATGTTTGCTGAATTTAAGGAGACTATGAATAGCCAATTCGAGATGATAGATTTGAGATTGATGTCTTATTTTCTTAGCATAGAAGTGAAGCAGGAAAATGATGACATATTTATTTCATAACAGAAATATGCTAATGATATTTTGAAGCGATTGAAAATGGAATCACTCAAACCAATTCGAACTCTCATAGCAGAACGATTGAAGCTAAAGAAAGAAGGAATCCTTGAATTGGTAAATCCCCCTTATTTCAAAATCATTATTGGCAGTTTGAGATATTTGACTTCTACTATGCCAAATGTTACTCGTGGAGTGAGAATTATCAGCAGGTTCATGGAAAAATCGTATTAATCACATTTGCAGGTGGCAACAAGAATTTTACGATAAATCAATGTAACTAGTGATCATAGAATTTTATATTCTTATACTGACAATTTTAGTCTAGTGGGGTACACGGACAATGATTGGGCAAGTGATACTGAGACTCAAAAGAATACTTCCAAAGCTTTCTTTCTTGGATCGAGAGTAATTTCTTGGTCCTCGAAAAAACAACAAGCTATTGCACTCTCAAGAGCTGAAGCAGAATACATAACATTAGCTTCGATGGGATGTCAAGCGATATGGCTTCATAGGATGTTGCGTGAATTGAAACATGAACAAACATGTCCTACCAAAATGATGTGTGAAAGTTGGCTATTACATTAGCCAAGAATCCAGTTTTTCATGGTAGGAGCAAACACATCGACTTAAAGTGTCACTATATTCATGAACAAGTTAGAGATTGTGAGATTGAGCTTAATTTCTGCAGGTCAGAAGATCAAATTGTAGATATTTTGATGAAACCATTGAAGGCGGCTTCGTTCAAAAAATTAAAAGAGATGCTTGGTGTTGTTGATTCTCAAAATCAATTTTAAGGGAGGCTATTAAAGTATTAATAAAATTGATTGTTATGTTGGCAATTCCTCCACGAAAACAGAAAGAAATCGGTAAGAGTAAGTTATGGTGGGCTACGTGAACTCAAGAAAAAAGATCTCTATGTGAAAATCTCGTTGCAAGCGCATGATGAAGATTGAAGACAAATGCTACAAGAATTTAATGAAGACAGAGGTCATTGAAGAGTTCTCTACATATTTCTAGGCCCAATTCTAAAAAAAACCCTCAACTTTACACTTTGTCCCAAATATACCCTGAACTTTTTTTTGTCTCAAGAAAAACCACAAACTTTTATCTAAGTCCCAAATCTGCCCTCCCGTTAAAAATCCGTCCAAATCCGTCAAGAAAAAAAAAAAAAGAGAGAAGCGGCAGTGCGGGTGGCCAAGCCTTCGCCGGTGGCCGCCCACAGCCGTCGGGAAGGAGCGGCGGCCCACGCCTGGGCCTTCCCGAAGGCCGGCGACCCTCGCCGGCCCCGGGCGAGCCGCCGGCGAGGGCGCGCAGCCCCGTCTGGGGCGAGGGTCGCGCCCTCCCGGATCGGGGCTGCGCGCCCTCGCCGGCGGCTCGCCCAGGGCCGGCGAGGGTCGCCGGCCTTCAGAGAGGCCCGAGCGAGGGCCGGCGGGGTCGCCGCCCCCGGGCGAGCCGCCGGCGAGGGCCCGCGGCCCCCGATCGGGGGAGGGCGCGACCCTCGCCCCGAGATCGGGGGTCTGCGCGCACTCGCGGCGGCTCGCCGGGGCCGGCGGAGGTCGCCCGACCCTCGCCTGGGCCTTCTCGAAGGCCGGCGACCCTCGCCGGCCCCGGCGGCAGCGCCGGCGCGCGCGCCCCCGATCTGGGGAGGGCGCGACCCTCGCCCGAGATCGGGGGGCTGCGCGCCTCGCCGGCGGCTCGCCGGGCCGGCGAGGGTCGCCGGCCCTCGCTGGGCCTTCTCGAAGGCCGGCGACCCTCGCCGGCCCGGGCGAGCCGCCGGCGGGCGCGCGGCCCCCGATCTACGGGGGAGGCGCGACCCTCGCCCGAGATCGGGTGGGCGCCTCGCCGGCGGCTCGCCCGGGGCCGGCGAGGGTCGCCGGCCTTCGGGAAGGCCCAGGCGTGGGCTGCCGCTCCTTCCCGACGGCTGTGGCGGCGGCCACCGGCGAAGGCTTGGCCACCGCCGCAACTGCCGGTTCTCTGTTTTTTTTTTTTTTTTTTTTTCTGACGGATTTGGATGGATTTTTAACGGGAGGGCAGATTTGGGACTTAGATAAAAGTTGGTGATTTTTCTTGAGACAAAAAAAAATTCAGAGTATATTTAAGACAAAGTGTAAAGTTGAGGGTTTTTTTTGGAATTGAGCCCATATTTCTATGCTTGTTTTCTAATGCATTTATTATTTGTGTGCTTTTTCTTTTGCTTTGTGGACTTTTTGTTACTTCATTTAATGTTATCAAAAAGAAGCGCTCCGTGGCTCATTTAATGTATGTTGACTTTTTGTCGTTCGGTAAGAAGTGTGTGAGATGTTTGCCTTTAGCATTAAATGTATCGTAGGTGTCTCCTATTATATAAGAACAAGAGGGTGAGTGTTGTATAAGAAGCATAAGAAAGCATTCTAACTTCTAAGAACAATTTCTCCCACCAACTTATGCACTCGTCCAAAATTTCCACGGTTGTCAGTATTCCCTTGGCTCCAACATAGCTAACTGCATGCTTGCAAAAGAAAGGTGACAAGAAAGGTTTTGTCACTTGCTTTGTCTTAAAGGTATATCCGATGACCTTTGAGAATGATAAGAAACCTAACTAAGATTTTGTTTTCTTGAGCAGGATTGAAATTCTATGCCACGATATCAATGACCACATATCTCATCATATTGCACTTTTATGACCAGATTTAGAATTTGATTGCACTTTTTTAAAAATTTGAAACTCAATTGGATATTTATAAGAAGTTTTAGCTCTTTCAGCACACTTATCCTTATAAATAAATATGAGCAAAATAGCAAATAGGCATTTTTCGGCAACAGCGAGAGGACACCTAACCAGGCAAATTTGGAATATCGAGATTGCTTTTTGTGGAGCACTACATCCAGACTTTTCTTAGCTCACCCACACACAACAATCACCAAACGTCAAGTTTTGTTTGAATATACTCTTTGAAAGAAACTCAGAAAGCCGATAAGACTTGACAAAATCCAATTTGTATGGAATGATGTCGTAAGTCAGCGATCCATGGTACGCATTTTTCAACCCATTCAACTCTCACCACTTATCCCCTTTTCTCTTTCTAAAATGGCCTGTTGAATATGATTTCCAAAGCCACCTGCAAGAAAGTGGAAACGTGTGACTGCGGGAGTTTGAAATTTTAGAAAACCCAGCGTCAGTCAACCGCAGAGGTAAAAAATCTACGGTCAGAAAACTCGTCTCGTCTCGGTCCACCCATCGAGGATGCTGGACAGCCCTGCCAAATTTTTCAAACCGCGTGCTAGACCGCCGCTATAATCTATTCATAAGTCATAACCTATATATATAGCAGCATCTAGTATAGGGTATTAATATTGTTGTTGGGTTTTCGTATTTATGATCCGCTGTAAGAGATTCGTTGGAAGAAATGGCGTATACTTTGGCCCCGGAGATGGAGAGCGGGGACTACTCAAATGGAACGACGGGGTTGACGACCGACGGAGGTGATGCCCGGTCGTCGCAGGGGTTTGAATTCGAAGTGTTCCTGAATTTCAGAGGGCCAGACACTCGCTTGAATTTCGCCGACTGCCTCTATCACTCCATGGACGGAGCCGGGATTCGCGTCTTTAGAGACGACGAAGAGATCAGGAGAGGCGAAGCGATCGGAGGTGAGCTGGAGCGCGCAATCAAGAGCTGTGCAATCTGTGTGCCCATCTTCTCTAAGAACTATGCGTCCAGTGCATGGTGTCTTCGTGAACTTGCATCCATGGTGGATTGCTCGAGAAATAGAGACGGCAAAGCCATGATCCTACCCGTTTTCTTCGATGTGGATCCCCACGATGTCAAGCTCGAAACCGGTCTATACCACGAAGCACTGCAGAAGCACGAGCAGAAGTTCGGCTGCGATGTGGTGCGCCGATGGAGGGAGGCTCTGAGGGAGGTCGCTCGTATCAGAGGATGGGATATCAAAGATAGAGGGTAAGATTTGAGCTTTTCATTTCATTTTTTTTTGGGTTGAATTAGCTAATTAATTAATATAATTATAAATCATAAAAAATACCCTCGTCCTTACATCAAAAGTTTAAACTAATACTGCTCTCTCTTTCGTCGAGTTATCATTCAATTCACACACATTTTTCGATAACTACTCCTACAAATCCACTCAATTAAATAACGATTTAATTCTTCTCAAAACTAGATGAAAACTCTACTAGGACACGACAAATACAACTTGAGTTCATTATTCAATTTGTATGTTTTAGATAGAATAAAAAAAAATTTCTTAACTTGTGATTTCGTTATATGTAAACTATTTTAATCCATGCAAAACTAGAAAACTGAACACACGCTATATGTGAGCAATAAAAAAGAAATAGACAAATCCTTTGCATATATATAAAGGAAACCAATGAGTGAGCATCTATTATGAAGTTTAAGATTTCACTCTCATCTTAACAATTGACATGTTTGACCTTCGAAACAGAATAATTTCAATTCATTTGAGGTAAATTGACATGGATTTTGATTAATTTTAAGAAAAGAGTTAATGCTTGCAAGTACACATGAGATTACTTTTTGGCGATTTATTTGATAATTTTTTTTCTTATATATTTGCAGAGAATATATACAAAAAAATTTGGAAAGGGGGCAGTCGCCCTCGCTTGGCCCCCCTCCGTGACTAATATGTGTTTGATCTACAATATTTTTTAACTTGAAAGGTTAACATTCTGTCTACAAGCTTTCTGACCAGACCCTTTATATTAAATATGACAGTCAAGGTGAAGTCATTAGATCAATCGTTGCTGAAGTTTTGATCAAGCTGAATAAAAGAGGAAAAAATCTACCCGATCATTTAGTCGGAATTCAGGACCGTGTTGAAGACGTCGTGCGCCTATTAGATGAAGGTTCGCCCGATGTATGTTATTTGGTAGTGCATGGCATGGGGGGCATCGGGAAGACGACTCTTGCCAAAGCTGTCTTTAATCGAATATCTAGTCGGTTTCATGGGTGTAGCTTTCTTTCGGATGTGCGAGAAGCTTCAAAGGGCGGTAAAGTTGTTCAATTGCAAAAACAATTATTGTTAGAAATTCTCAAGTTCAAACCAATGGAGATTTCTGACTGTGATGCAGGGATTAACCAAATTAAAAGGAGTTTCCGCAACAAGAAAGTCCTTATTGTTCTTGATGATCTAGATAAGTGGAATCAACTCTCAAAACTTGCAGAAAAACATGATTGGTTTGGTCAAGGGAGCAGAATTATTATTACAACGAGGGACACCAACTTTTTGCCGATCATAGAGGAGAACCGAGAAAATAATGTCCAAACGCATTTCAAAGAGTTTAAAATCTATCAAATGGACGAATTGCCCCATGGCTATGCTCTTCAGCTTTTTAGTAAGCATGCTTTCGGAATGGATTCCCCTCCACATGAATACGATGATATTTCTCGCGATATCATTGGCAAAACTGGTGGACTTCCTTTGGCTCTCGAGGTTATCGGTTCCTCTCTTTATTGCAAAAGCAAACGACTTTGGAAAGACACGTTGAAGAAATTAGATTTAGTTCCCAAGCAAGATGTCTATGACAAATTGAAGATTAGTTTTGAAATGCTAGAGGATGCACAGAGAGAAATTTTTCTTGATATTGCATGTCACTTTATTGGTGAAAAAAGAATACATCCACATTATATGTGGAAAGCGTTGGACTTTTTCCCAAAGAGTGATATCATTGTACTTACACGTATGTCTTTGATAAAGGTTGATGATGATGATCGACTCTTGATGCATGACCTGCTCAGAGACCTTGGAAGAGAAATTGTTCGACAAGAAGACCTCAAAGTTCCTGGGAAGCGTAGCAGATTATGGTGTCCCAAGATTGCATTGGACGTGGTGCAAACTAGAAAGGTAAATTTTATTCACAGCTATTGTCTTCACGATCAAGGAAACATCAGCTTGAAGTTTAAAGTATATTCCCGGATGTGTTCATGTATCTGTGTTGCGCATCGAGGGAAACTAAATATTTCATTTGAATGAAATGAAAGTAATACTATAATCCATATCTCACTAAGATATTAATAGCTTACATTTACAATCTGAAAGTAGAAGCAAACAGAATGGTTTCCTTTTAGAACAAGTCTGTAATATCTAGTCACAGAATGCGTTCTTTTTTTTCACTGTAGAAAGTTCGTTTAAGCCTTTTCATGTCCTCAGGGAACCGAGAACGTCATAGCACTCAAACTAATTGGACTTTGCAAGGAGCATGACTTTACCAGTCAAGAGTTTTCAAAGCTGCCTAATTTAAGGTTCTTGGAATTGGAGGGGGGCAACTTGGTAGGAGACTTTAAGAACCTTCTCTCGAGTTTAAGATGGCTTTCTTGGCGTCGTTGCCCCTCATTCTTGCAGGCAATCAATTTATGTTTATGGAACTTAGTCGTGCTCAAGCTTTCGGACAGCGACATTCCAGAAAACTGGAATGGATGGGGCTCATGCTTGGTATGGTTTCATATCACATATATATGTTTATTGCCATTTCCCTTGCCTTACTTTTCTAATTCTAATTTGTTTCGCAGGCAAATCCTGACTTGAAAGTAATACATCTCATGAGATGCCATCTATCGGCAACTCCGGACTTCTCTACGTGCTTGAATTTGAAGATACTTGTTTTTTATCAACATTGTCCAAAGTCACTACAAATGGGTAGCTCTCTTAGTAAGCTAGAGCGCCTAAAGCGCTTTGAAATAATTGCAGCCCAAGTTCAGTTATCAAAGTTGTCCACAAGCCCCCATCTTGACCTGGTGGCAGTGCCTTCTGCATTATGCGGTCTAAAGTACCTATCGAGTCTAAAGCTAGAGGGGCAGTGTATACAAGAACTTCATCCATCTATTAGAGAGATGACAGGCTTGACATGCTTGTCTTTAAGGCGTTGTCATCAGCTTAAAAAGCTTCCAGACTCCATTGGGAAATTGAGATCGTTGCTCGCCTTGAACTTGTCCGCCACAGGAATCAGAGAGTTACCTGATTCTATTGGAGATCTCAAGAGATTGAAGAAAATGAACCTGGGATGCACTCAGATAAGGGAGCTACCAAACTCGATGGAAGGGCTAGAATCATTGCTCGAGTTGTTTTTGCACGGTACAAAGATCACCGAAGTGCCTGCTTCTATTAGATATCTTAATAGGCTGGAGCACTTAGCTGTAACTGAGATTAATATAGGAGAGCTCCTTAAGGCCATAGGGATGTTGGAGAATCTTAAAGAGTTAGAGGTATGGAATTTAAGTAAAACTATCAACACTACATGAGTTGTGGACATTGCGCCTTTTTTTTTTTTTTACTGGGAATCACGGGAAGGTTGGTTTGATGTACCAAACACATATCATTTTTATGTTGACAGATGCCCAATGCTCTGCGAGTCAGGTGACGACTACAAAACTTGCTGAGAATGTAGGACAAGCAATGCCGAAGTGAATGCGGGTGAGGTTTATTCAGTCGATCAAACTTAAAGATCGGAAGGAGTTGGCACAATTAGAAGCATCATCAATTTCGGCATTGCGGATCCATTGAAAAGGTCTACTGATCTACCAAATCCTTGGGGGTGTAGGTCAAAGCTTGCGTGAGACTCTGCACCTTCTCTTTATAGATGTTTTACAGCAAAATGTATACATAACATCCTCTCAGAAACTTGGTTTTATTTTCAATATTTTCTCTTTTTATGGTGACAATATATATGGTCTAGCACCTAATTCGGATTAATATCTGGGCTTTAAAAGTCCATTTCATGTTTCATCTAGGATCTTCATAGATTGTACAAAGCACAAAAGCTCTGTTTCAATGGTTGATTTGTCTAGCCAATAGGGCGCATATAATAACCATTCTGTTTCTCTATTTTTTTATTTTTCTAATCCTGGGAACAGTTTTAAAACAGAAATCCATTTGGGAACAATATTTCATTTTTCCATTTCTGGAACAAATTTTGATTTCAGAAATAAGTTTAAAATAAAAATTAGAAGTAAAAATTTGCTAGTTTTCTATTTCGGGAACAGAAATGAGAAATAAAAACTCTTCTCATCGTTAGCCCTCGCTATTAGTAGCTGACCACCCACACGCCGCCCGTCTCTCGCCTCCCGCCACCGGCGACCTCTTGCCGCCGCCCGCTGTCTGCCGTTCTCCATCACCACCCGACGCCCGCCACCGCTCACCACCATCCCCCGCCGCCCCACCGCCTACCGTTTGCCTCCGGTTGTCACCTATCGTTCTCCGCCGCCAGTCACCTCCCACCGCCGCCCACCGTCCAACTCGTGCCACCGCCACCCGACGTCGCCCGCTAGCCGCTTGGGAGGGAGCAATTTTGTGTCATTATCAACGAATTTTTATTTTGAGATCAGAAATTTTATGTTGTTATGAAATCCATATTTTGGCTTAGAAACTCATCTAGGGAATAAAAGTAGAATAATCTATTTTTTGCAAGAAATTGATTTTTAGAACAGAATGGTTATCATTCCCGCCTTAAAACATCTACTATCTAATATGATTTTTTTAATCTAATCCAATCAATTTGATGGTGTCAGTCTATCTCATCTAATAATATAATAATCCAATAAGTATTTTAGTGATTTATGGGGGAAACCTATGTATGGTTGACACTTGGTACTTTCCTTGTTTCACACTTACCTCACTTTGCCTTTTTTTCTTTTAATTTTCTTATTTTTGTCTCATTTCTTTATTTCATTGTCTACTTTCAAACAATCAGCCAAACTTACCCTGAACTTGGTTAGTCACAGATCCTCTGTTGCCGCTGCTCAGAGTCACGCCCCCGTCGCCACTTCATGGCCATTCGGCCCGTCCCTATCGTTGCACAAACGTTGTGCCTCCCCCGTGCCTCCGCCCCTTTCCAACCGCGTTGGACCGTGACCAAAGAGGCCTTAGGAGATCCCAGATCTTGGGTCACCTGAGGCCGGCCACCTCTGATCTGAGGTCATGAGCCTCATATCGAGGTCGAGGTGTGCAGCAAGGCTCAATTGAGCCTGATGATAACTGGGAGAGAGAGAGAGAGTGCGGTCGAGATAGAGGGGAGGGCCACTATCGACGGGGCTTCCATTGCCATTGAAGCGCATGGCGGCTCGTACAGGATTCATCGACATTAATCATTTACTTTCTAATCTTCTTCTATGATAGATCGAAGGAAATTTTTTCTGACCAACTATTTTTCTAATCGATAGGTTACAAACATGATAACTATTCAATTTTATATTTAATAAAGCTTGCATGTGATTGATATCTATAACTAATAAATCACCAATCAAAAGTATGGTGAGAGGATGTTTTCTCCGATCATTCGAAGATGAAAAATTGTGCATAGTCAATTGACGTATACAAAAAAGTTAAATTTGGTATTGAAACTAAATAGCATTGATGTCTCTAATGCTTTGTCTTGTTAAACTTAGAATGCGATATCTTATAATGCCATTTATTAAAAGTTAAGTGTCTTAGAACCGCAGCATTGGCTATGGAAATTCTACACTTAAAAATGCTTTGCATTGTTTCTTGTTCAAACTCGGCTATCCATGAGCTGCTTTAATTAAAATATGGAGAAAAATAAGGCCGGCAGCATCTTCGGGAGAAAAAGTTAGTGCCACACAATACTTGTAATATTGTAGCTCAGAGAGAGAGAGAGAGAGACGGATTTGTTGTAATAATTCGGACTAAATAATAATGAGCAATCTTTGGTGGAGATTAGATTTAAGTGCAAATGCTTGAGAAACTTGAGGTCGTAGTCGACCGCCAACGTGGCGTCCACGCTAGCTAAATGGCACAACCATGCACAGTAAGGTACAACACAAAGTGGGCCATTGACGACTAGGGCACAACACGAAGTGGGCTCTCTATGTAAACCACTACAATCTCTCACTCCTCTTCGCATCAATCCAACTTTACTTTACAGTGTTCCACTTAGCACATTTGAACATGAAGAACCTTGCAACATCTTTCGGCATTGCTCTCTTCCTTGTTATTAGCTTCGCCTACTTTTCGTCTCCTTCTCATTCGAACTCATGTAATGGCCCCTGCCAAACACTTGATGATTGCGATGGCCCACTGATTTGCATCAATGGAAGGTGCACCGACGACCCCCAGGTGGGCACGCACATATGCGTCAATTTGCCTCCGTCTCCATCTCGTGGCGGATGTCAGCCTTCGGGCAGTATGTCTTGCGATAGACAATCATACCCTAAATATGATTGCTCCCCGCCGGTGACATCCTCCACCCGAGCTACACTAACGAATAACGACTTCAGCAAAGGAGGTGATGGCGGGGGGCCCGTCGGAATGTGATGACAGTTACCACGAGAACTCCGAGCTAATTGTCGCACTATTGACCGGGTGGTACGCTGGTGGATCTCGTTGCGGAGATAGGATCAGTATAACGTCCATGAAAACTAGGAGGAGCGTGATGGCCAAAGTGGTTGACGAATGTGACTCAAGGAATGGGTGCGACAAGGAACATGATTATCAGCCACCGTGCAATAACAACATCGTTGATGGGTCAGATGCTGTGTGGCACGCTTTGGGGTTGGACATAGATGTGGGTGAAGAGAATGTGGTTTGGTCCATGGCATAGTGTTTTGGTCGCCAATATGTCATCATATTACCGTGTGGGTGTCTGTAGTGCTATGTAAGAAAAGATTGACGACCATCAAGTTGTACCTGTACAATTTCATATATATGTTTGTATATGGGCATGGAGCATGAAATAGTATACATACGGTTATGTTTGCACGTGCTAGTCATATCTTGTGGACTATGCTACGTGATCGGTTTGGTATAATAAGTAGAGCAGAACTAGACCATGTTGTAGTTACGATGCGAAAGTGTCGTAACTTAGAGAAAATGGATGTTTAAAGCCAAATTACTTCGCCTTACCTCTAGGCTGAAGCCGATGTCCCTGTTTCTCGATCACTCAAATGCATATGACCGATATTTTTAGAAAATAATTTTTAAATTATTTATTTTCGGCGAAACAAATGAAATTTTTATTAGTCCATCATTTTTTTCCAGCAAATAATTTTAGGAAGCCTTGTTAAAGAAAACTAACGAGAGTTCTCAATCTATTGACTTTTTCCATTCCAATGGTAATCGATATCTTGAGAATTAAGACTTTCTTTAATAAGTATGCGTAAAAGCCGGAAAAAGAAAAAGAGAAGGGAATGACTGGGAAGCTCCTTCATTTCGGAGGGCAAGCTTTTTAGTAATAACCATCATAAAGATATTGACATACTTCAAGACCAATACCCCTCGCAGACCCTTCCGCTGCTATAGGAAAATCTGAATGTCTGGGAACCAACAAATCATCTAAGTTATGGAGTTTATATACAAACTACCGCTTGTCGATCGGAAATGGCGCCTAGGATGTCGAGGAGGTTGAGGAGGTCAAAAGAATACTAGTAAGAGATCGCAAATAAATTGTGTTCCTATGGGGATTCTGAGCTATATCCGAACTTAATTAGACGCAAAAACCATGTCTCCATCCCTTTGCTACAAAGGCCATGCCTGCCGGGAACTTTCAAGAGACAAAACTTACCTCCGATTAATATGCAAGAGTGAGAAGGAGGTCGGTGATAATAGAAAGAGAATCTCATTTCTTGGACTGCTCTCCACTGGGACCATATTCGAGTGACCATCTCAGAAGCGTCTCTGGCTTGGGAATTGCAAACCAGCCTTTTTCCACTTGTCTCTTTACATGAAGATGTACAGTAATGTTGCCTTTGGTAATTGCAGCGTCATGCCTACTAGTATCTGTACAGCGCTCTGGCGTCAAGGACAGGCTGCATCCACAAACCCGTGAAATCTGAAGACAAGTCACATTCATTATGGCAACCAAGTAGCAGTTTCAATGTCTATCCACCACAATATGGACTTCTGGGAAAATCAGCGAATACCGCACAGCCTACGGAAGTAGAGCTCCTCTTGTTAGGACACGCCAGAAAGATCCGTCTCCTGCCTCGGCATCATGACCACCAATTGCAGCTTGCCTTGCTGGCACAGTTTTATGGGGTTCTTAAAGATTGAAACCCTCGCAGTGTTATTGTCTACAAGAACCACATGCGCTATGCTGAAAGATTCACCCCGTTCAACCGCAAACTGCCACTCTCTGGTGGACATGTTAAACCAGTCCTTCCTTTTAGATGCGGTTGCTTTAACTTCAATGTACTCTCTATCGGCATCATTCTCCCCAATTAGGATATCATACGGGAGCCCGGTTTCACTAAGTTCATTAACCCAGTTCACTGTTGCCTTACCAGCTTTCCCTGTAAAATATCTGAAAGCAACAAGCTCACCAAGCCTCCCAGTCAACATTGCCTGGGCTCCGTCAGGGTTGCCAGTATTAAGCTTCTCTCTCCAGCTAAAATTGGGTGAACTCTTTGCAGGCACATCAGTCATAGCATTTGCATCAACAGAATTCAATTCTGTGCCCATAACGGTGTCACCAAATTGGGCAAAATGTTCTTCAGAATTTTGACTGTTCACCAGAAGCCCAGATGTAGCAGCTGCAGTTCCTCCAATCTTCCAATTGGCATCAATCTCCGTCGGAACCACATTTTCCATCACTGCAACCGTAATTTCTGAATGCCCCTCAATTTTGTCATGTGAGATGCTATCTACCGCTTGTGTCCTAAAACCATTTTCACAAGCATAACGGAAATCTGGAGCCGTTCTCCAATCCACAGGTGGCCAATTTAGGATGGTACCTGACTTCCTCCTGGACTTGAAAACAGTTTGTTCACTAGTTCCTCCTGAAGTAGAACTTATCGGGAGGGGCTTTTCAAGGTCTCCTGAAGGCAGAGATGCAAGGGACCAAATGGTTTCTTCATCAGGTATCTTTGTCACCTTCTGGCTATTCAATATGAAAGTCTCTGTCTGCTCCTCAGTGGAACCCGATTCCACCATAGTTGTAATCATGTGAAGGAAATTTGCTATGTGTAATTCTGGATGTCCATCAAACCATAATCGAGAGAGCTCCAAAAATAAAGCATGAGAATCTGATTGTTGGGCAACATAAAGAACATTCCCCTACAAAAATCAGATAGAAGACATTATTGAAACAATCCATTCTGTTATTCATGGCCACTTAATTGCTCAGTAACTTTATCTGGGTTTGTTTGCATCTTTTTATGATGATATCTTAGCCCAAGTGTAGAGGGTCCTCCACCTAGGTCAGCTTGTATTCACAGCTACTGATTTATAAAGAATTACCAAGTATATCTCATTAAAACAAAGCTCTACACAATAAATAGCTTGGTTTAACAAAACTATATGACTTCCGTGCTCAGAACAATAGTAGTTCAGTTTCCTGAAAACAAATTTCACACTGAAAATAGGGCTGGAGGTATTTCTGTAATCTTGACCAAAAGTATCAAGATGAGAGCAAGCATCTAACCAATTTTCAAAAGGCCCCCTCATCAGATCAGAGATTCCTAGTCGATATTTAACTTAACTAGAGGTGAATTTCTCTTCCTAGGTAGATAACGTCTTTTCAAATGATGTGGCAACATTTTCTAGCTTCTGCACTACGTCAAAAATTACATTGAGAATATGACTTCCAGCATTGGAGAAGCTTCATACCTCCAGTAAACAATTGCAGTCGTATCTCTTCTTGGATGTACTGCCACAACTTTTGATCAAATTTTTGTAGAACAATTTTTCAACTACTACTACTTGCAACTGTTTGAGACTGTCAAAACCAGACTGCTTAAGCTGTAAATATTGCTGAGGATGCACACTGTAGATGTAGCGTTGGGCATAGGGAAGTGCCCAGTCAATCAACTGGGCTTTTAAAGTACCATCTGCTGAACCATAATATATTGCTTCACGAGTTACAACCTGCAAAGAAATTATCCATAAGGACAATAGCTTTGTCAACAACTGAAAATTTGCTGGAATTATATGTTTGTCAATAAATGCTTCTATACTCGACAGTTAACAAAATACTTAGCACAGGTAAGTTATCTCAAATTTAACTTTCAAACTTCAATGTTACTGCAACAACATCAATATTCAGCAAGCTATAAGTGCACTGTAATTTTGAGCCTTCCATGAAGTGTATGACATGCATTTTAGTGTCATAGTCAACAACAGCTACAAAAACTTGCAGTCCAATTATTTTCTTTTCACTATCCAAATGGAGTTTCATATCACAAACCACACCTATTAGTCAATGGGTTTTCATTTCACTATCTCAATGCAAGAAACTCATACAAGATTTCTTCATTACGGGTTTACCAGGTCATTTTGTCAGAAAATAACGAGTGATAGTAAACACAGGTTTGTCAAAATTGACATATTAGGTTGTGCGTTGAGCATATATGCTAGTGTCGATTGCTCATGTGGCTTTGTGTCTGTCGAGAGAGGGGGCAAGAGGGTGGGGCATGCGTACCTCAGAAAGTGCGGGAATCCCCAAGGTCCTCAAGAGCCTAGTAACATTTGCAGGAAGCATCTCTTGATTGTCGTTGGGTTCACCAAAGTACAGAAAATCAACGCCTTCCACATACTTAAGTTCCTTCCTCAAATTCTCATCGTCAGACCAGCACACAATACCAAACAAAGGATGCAGGGATACCCACTTATCCAGCACCGTGGGGAGCACGGTGTATTCTGGTTTTGTCAGACATTCTTTAAAATAGCTGATATCCTCCGCAGTTATGGATCCTGAGACTAATCCATCATTCCACTTCAAAAAAATTTGAAATACCTGAAACATGAAAGGAAAAGTTTTTAGGTCTTAGGACCAACGAACCTCATGACACCAAGTACACATCAAGTTGGTTACTCACTATATTAGCTACTTGTGAAGGTAAGGTAGTAGCGGACAACTCCACCAACATTTTCAGATAAACATGAAAAGAAGGGCCCTCAAGAACACCGCATTCCCTGACAAAGAAATCATAAAGACCCGGGTAGATATTGTCCAATGTCTTGCAAGGAAGGCCATCAGTTACACCCACCAATCTGCACTGAGAAAATACTTGATTTATTTGTTTCACTGAACCAGTGGAATCATGCCAATACACTTCTTTAGGGGAACAAAATATGCCAGAAACCAGCTCCTCCTGCCGAGATCCAGATGCACTTGGAACAAAGATAAACTGACTCGTTCTAATCTCTTCACTCATTCTTATCTGAGAAGAAGTCAATTCATTCCAAATAAATGAATATAACCTTGCCATTTGTGCTACGCTGAAAATCAAAATGACACATAAATGAGAACACAGATCTGAGGAACAAAATTAAAATAAAGAATATAAAATCAAGGAAGCCAACCTTATTGAAACTTGAACAAAGAGATATGCAATTACGGTATATAGTACACCAAGATCTTAACAATAGACTTTCAACTGATGCAATTCACTGTAATAAATACACATGACAATGCATTGAAGTTCCGCTCATACTGTTTCATAATTATGAACTCCCTCAACTGGGTCCAGAACGCTATGTTTGGAAGAGATTTAAGACAATGATTGAGTAAACATATAATCAACATATAATTGAAATAGTGGGTCTAACAAATTTCTCCGTCTCTCAATTAAAACTTCTAAAAAGAACCCAGAAACAAGTATTTTGAAGAGATTTTTCCTCAGTTTGTTTACTTGATGGAATTTATCATATACCCAATGATAGAGTCGAAGAGAAACAAAATCAAAAGTACAGGCCAATAAAACAATACAAATACGATGTGAAGCTAGTCAAGGTGAGAGGAAAGCAGCACGAAACTTATTGTTAGAAGTACCAATTGGTTCCACATTCTGACCACACACCTTTTGGCCACTTTTAGATGACATGAATAGCTTAATCGGAATCAGGAAAATTTTGCAAAAATGAACATATCCCAACTTGCAGGGAGAAATTTTACTCAAAAGATGACTAATTTTCAATATTTTGTGAAAAAATTATTTTTCAAATAGAGAGAACCTTGGTGTACAGTGCGGACAGAATTTTTTGAGGACCTTTACCTATCGAGGGAGAAAGGGAAGAGATTGGAACAAAAGGGGTTGGAAAGAGTAGTCGTGAAAGTAAGTCACTAGCTCCCATATAAGCATCCCAAGATCTCCCAAGTTCCATTTGATTATTATGTCTCACAAAAAGAATATATCATTTCCAGCACCATATTCGAATAGAGGGCATCAATCTGCTTTTCGCAAAATCTCCATCATAAGAACTCCCTCTTCATCATTTAAAATAAAGTACACTACGATAAACATCAAATTGACAATATCCTAGAATGGTTCTTTTAATCAGACAAACAAAAGTTTCATAATCCATCAGTGTCTAGTATTATTACTGACCAGAAGACTTATAAAATAGGCATTTACACAATGGTTCACTTTTGGCACTTGAAGGACAAGATGTGGATCACTTCCTAATATGTAGAACCTTTGCAACTTATCTCTCAAAATCATATTCTTCAATCCGCAGCTCAGACAGCCCAATTACTTTATAGTGGCAAAAGGCAATCTTTCACCAAAGCAGTAAAAACGATGATATACTGCAATTGACTATCTAAGTACATAATTCATAGTCGTAGAGCAGATTAGATCAGATATCTATCACATGAGAACCAAGATCTGGTCCTCTTTCCCGGCCCTTCCTTCTCTTTCTTTCTCTACTTTTCCCTTCACAACCAACGTGGCTGTGGATGATTTTATTAAGAAAAGAAAATCAAGAGTGATTCGCAAACTGGACATGGAAAAGGCCTATGACCATGTTTCAAGGGAGTTCTTGATGCATATGTTAAGACGAATGGATCTTGGTGACCAATGGTGTAGATGATTCCAAAATGCATTTTGTTAGAGTAGAATTATTTTTTATTTTCTAGGTTTTATTCCTTTTTTACATATATAAGGGCATTATGGTCATATACAATTCATATTTAATATAAATATATCGTGATGGGTGTAGGTTTCTGTCACACACAGAAACCAAGAGCCCCTTTCTTGGATTTTACAATCTCTTTCTCTCTCTCTTCTTCTCCTCTCTTTTTCTTCTCTCTTCCTTCTTTTCTCTCGTTATTTTTCTGCGGGTTCTCTAATCAGCTTAGTAACATGGTATCAGAGCACGGTTTGACTACCTGATTCCCTGGTCCTATTGCTGGTTTGAGAGTCCCCTAATAACCCTATTCCTTCTCTGGTGCGTAGCCACCTAAAGCTACAATTTTTACCTATTTTCTCTTCAAGTCCCGATACATATAAGATCAGGAGAAATCAGATTTATCAGGTTCTGTTTGTGACAATGGATTACAACACTTCCTGATTAGCAGATTCAAGGATCAGGGTATTTCGTTGATTATGCAGCCTATATTTATAAAATTTCAGCATCCCTTTGTTTGATTGATGGAGCCAATCGCATCTGATTATATGTTGGTATTGCTGTTTTATTTCTTGCACTGAAGTTTCGGCCTTTTTTGATCGGTGGTAGATATATTTATATTGAGATTTTCACCATGAATGGCACTAAGTCTTCTACGGACAGTGTCAATGTTCAGATTACCACCATTAAATTGAATGGATCCTCCAATTACTTGCTATGGGCTCAAGCTGTGAAGGTTTATATTAATGCCAAAGGGAAACTTAATTATCTTACTACAGAACCCCCTGCTGAAAACTCTAAAGACTATAGTGACCGGATGAGAGAGAATGATACACTTTTGGTGTGGTTATGGAATAGCATGGAACCATCCATTGCTACTAATGTCATGTTCCACACAACTGCCAAGGGAGTGTGGGATGATCTTATGGAGAGTTACTCACAAGACAAAAACATGTCTAGAGTCTATGAGCTCTATGAGAAGATCTTTAATTTTAAACAGGGGGACAAGTCTCTTGGAGAGTATTATAGTGCTTTGAAAGGCATGTGGGAAGAACTTAATCTTTATCAGCCCATCACTACTAATCTTGAGACACTAAAGACACAACGAGCTGAATTTCAGGTGGGCAAGTTTTTATCAGGCTTGAATGCTGACTTACAGCCTATGAAGAGTCAGCTTCTTGCTGGAGAGAGAGTTCCTTCTATGAATGAAGCATTTTGTCGGATTCAGCGCATTGTCCCTCCGTCTTCTACATCATCTAAAGATAATTCAGCATTTGTGGCTAGTAGTGGTGTTCGTGGTCGTGGTGGATTTTCTAATAGAGGTCGTGGTTTAGGGGGAGGTCGCGGTCGTGGTGGTGGACGTAGTGGACAAAATTCTGATCGAGATAGCCGTCAGTGTATATACTGCGGCAAATCTAGTCATATTGTTGACACATGTTGGGCCAAGCATGGCAAGCCTGAGTGGGATCAGCGATTAGTTACTGCAAATGCTGCTATGGCTGAAGGGAGTGCTGGAAATGTGTCTTACGGCGACACGAATCCATCTATCCCAAGTGGGGGTAGTTCTTCTGAGTCCGCGTCTCGGGATGATACGGTCGCACAACTCATCAAGCGTGTCCAACAACTGGAGGCTTCCAATTTCTCATCTACTGCCACTCTTGCACGTACAGGTAACATGGCCTTTTTCTCTACTTTGTCTCCTGGCACCTCTTGGGTCATTGACTCGGGAGCTTCTAGTCATATGACCGGTAAGCAAGAATTATTTTCTTCCCACCATAACTCTAGTCCTTCACCTGAAGTTATTCTAGCTAATGGTTCCTCTACTCAAGTGGTTGGATCAGGGGCTGTTTCACTTACACCCTCCTTATCCTTGTCCTCCGTTTTACATGTTCCCCAACTTCCTTTGAATTTGTTATCTGTTAGTCAGTTAACTAAAAATCTAAGTTGTTCTGTTACATTTTACCCCTCCTATTGCATTTTTCAGGACCTTCAGACAAAGAAGAAGATTGGTGGAGGGCATGAACATGATGGACTCTATTATCTGGATGGTGTCTCCACTGCTGACGCCAATGGTCTAGCTGCTAGTCCTATTACCCCCCTATTATGGCATTCCCGTTTAAGGCATTTATCTTTATTTAAGTTACAGCAAATAATTCCCAAGTGTAAATCAATTTCTACTCTTGAGTGTGAGGCTTGTGAACTTGGGAAACATCATCGTAGTTCTTTTCCTAGTCGTAGTGATTCTCGTGCATCTACTTTATTAGAACTTGTTCATTCAGACATCTGGGGACCTTCCCGTGTTGCTAATAGAAATGATTTTAAGTACTTTGTTACTTTTGTGGATGATTATTCTCGTCTAACATGGCTCTATATGCTTCATGATCGTTCTGAATTTTTACATGTTTTTCAATTATTTCATCGTGAAGTTACTAATCAGTTTAATACATCCCTTAAAATTTTGCGAACAGATAATGCTCTAGAATACTCACAAAAATCAATTTCTTTGTTTTGTTCTAGTCTTGGCATTATACATCAAACAAGTTGTACTTATACCCCTCAGCAGAATGGTGTGGCCGAGAGAAAGAACCGTCACCTTCTAGAAGTTGCTCGTTCACTTTTGTTACATATGCATGTCCCAAAATCATTTTGGAGTGATGCTGTCCTTACTGCTTGTTACCTCATAAATCGTATGCCTTCCACTGTCCTCAATCAACAGTCACCAATCAGTATTGTATTTCCTGACAAGCCGTTATTTCCTCTTACCCCGCGTGTCTTTGGGTGTGTCTGCTTTGTCCATAATCTACGACCTGGTGCTGATAAACTATCCCCTCGTGCTACTAAATGTGTTTTTCTCGGGTATTCACGTACTCAAAAGGGATATCGGTGTTATGATCCTATGACTTGTACTCAATATGTCAGTGCTGACGTTACTTTTTTCGAGGGCACACCATACTATTCTACTGAGGGTAAAGAGTTTTCAACTGACATTGTAGCCGATCCTCCTATTCCACAACTTATTCCCTTAGATTCTGTTAGTCCTTCCGTACCTCCTCCCTTGCAGGTATATCAGCGGCGAAAGCAGTCTACGGCACCACCGGTCTCCAGCTCTTCCGTGCCCTCCGTTCAATCTCCCTCCTTGTCTCCTGGTCCGGACGATCTTCCGATTGCCCTTCGCAAAGGTACTCGTTCTTGTACACAAAAATCCTCTTTTGCTTACCCTATTGAGCGTTATGTGTCTCTTTCACATCTTCCTCCTCCATTACATGACTTTGCTCTATCATTACATACTCACACAATTCCTACTTCTACCACTGAGGCCTTGTCTCATCTCGAGTGGAAGAGAGCTATGGATGTAGAAATGGAAGCTTTGGTGTCCCGCCAAACATGGTCTTTGGTTGATCTTCCTCTTGGGAAAGATGTGGTGAAGTGTCGTTGGGTGTACACTATCAAGTATAACCCGGATGGCTCAGTTGAGCGTCTCAAAGCTCGGCTCGTTGCTAAAGGTTTTACTCAAACTTATGAAATGGATTATTTTGAGACTTTTTCCCCCGTGGCACGTCTCAATTCTGTTCGTGTTATTATTTCTCTTGCTGTGAATTTTGATTGGCCATTATATCAATTGGATGTCAAGAATGCTTTTCTTTATGGTGATTTGTCTGAAGAAGTATATATGGAGCAACCTCCTGGGTATGTTGCCCAGGGGGAGGATCGCAGTAAAGTATGCCGGCTACATAAAGCCATTTATGGGTTGAAACAATCTCCTAGAGCATGGTTTGAGAAATTCAGTTCAGTGATTTCCAGGTGTGGTTTTCACCAATGTTATTCTGATCATTCTGTTTTTGTTCGCAAGGAGTCGGGAGTGGTCATTCTTGTTGTTTATGTGGATGATATAATTGTCTCTGGTAGTGATGCGACCGGAATTTCTGAGGTTAAATCTTTTCTTCAACAGCAATTTCAGATTAAAGACTTCGGAGCTCTTAGGTATTTTCTAGGTATTGAAGTTTCACGAAGTAGGAAAGGTATTAATTTGTCTCAGCGAAAGTATGTTCTTGATCTTTTATCTGAGACTGGTACACTAGCTTCCAAGCCAGTTGATACTCCTATGGATCCAAATCAAAAGTTTGGAGTTGATGATGGAGATGATCCTGAAGATAAACATCGGTATCGGCGTCTAGTTGGGAAACTAATTTATCTTACTGTTACACGTCCCGATATTTCTTTTGCTGTTAGTGTGGTGAGTCAGTTTATGGAATCACCCAAGAAGGCTCATTGGGATCTTGTTTGTCGCATTCTTCGATATCTTAAAGGCTCTCCCGGTAAGGGACTCGATTTATAAACCGAATGGTTCTTCCACCTTAGTTGGCTATTCGATCTTGATTGGCGGGTCAAAGTGTGATCGGCGGTCTACGACTGGGTATTGCACCTTTCTTGGTGGTAATTTGGTTACTTGGAGAAGCAAAAAAACAGACTACCATTGCCAGATCTAGTGCGGAGGCTGAATATCGTGCTATGGCACATACTGTGGCTGAATTGCTGTGGTTGAAATCTCTTCTCCAGGAGCTTGGATTTTCTATTAATCATCCTATTGATATGATGTGTGATAATCAGGCAGCTATTTATATTGCTGGAAATCCTGTTTTTCAAGAGCGAACTAAGCATATAGAAGTTGACTTGTCACTTTGTTCGTGATGCTGTGAAGCAGAACTTGGTTGCCACTCCTTACGTTGCCTCTAGAGATCAGTTTGCTGATATGTTCACTAAAGCGTTGTTTCGTCCTGCCTTTGTTGCTAGTTGTTCCAAGCTAGGCATGGGTGACCTATATGCTCCAGCTTGAGGGGGAGTGTTAGAGTAGAATTATTTTTTATTTTCTAGGTTTTATTCCTTTTTTACATATATAAGGGCATTATGGTCATATACAATTCATATTTAATATAAATATATCGTGATGGGTGTAGGTTTCTGTCACACACAGAAACCAAGAGCCCCTTTCTTGGATTTTACAATCTCTTTCTCTCTCTCTTCTTCTCCTCTCTTTTTCTTCTCTCTTCCTTCTTTTCTCTCGTTATTTTTCTGCGGGTTCTCTAATCAGCTTAGTAACACATTTCTTCACCGACTTTCTCGTTAATGGTGAATGGCAATCCAAGAGGTTTTCTCAAGTCTTCTAGAGGATTGAGGCAGGGTGATCCTCTGTCATGTTTGATGTTTCTGCTGGTTATGGAAATATTAAGTAAGATGCTGCTACTGATGAGGGCTTGTATAATGGCTTCGAGGTTAGCAATGCTTGCGATGAAGTTTCCATATCCCATCTTTTATTTGCAGATGACACCATCATTTTGTTGGAGGATGACATTAAACAAATTCTGCACTTGAGACTTTAGAGGCATATTGCTGTGTTTTGAGGGTGTTTTGGGCTGAAATGTAAATGTGCAAGAAATGTCTCACATTCTTGCCTATAAAGTACTGGGATGGTCGTTGGGATCCACTCATAAGCAAAAATTGTTTGGCATCCAATGATACAAAGATTTGAGAACAGTTTAAGTGGTTGAAAAATGGCTTATTTATCTAAGGGAGTTAGACTTGCGTTGTTGAAGTATGCGCTCTCTAAATCCTCCGGTTTGCTTTCTCTCTTCATTACCAATCCCTATCTTGTTGACAGAAAGACTTGAAAGCATATAACGATTCTCTGGGGAGATTGGAATGACAATCCGAGATTTCATCTAGTTAATTGGAGCATTGTAATACAACAGGTTCCTAATGGGGGCTTGGGCATAAAGTCGTTGGTATTTGTAAATAAAGCTTTGCTTAAGAAGTGGCTGTGGAGATCAAATGTGGAGAAACTATCCTTTGGAGGAGAGTATGGTTGCGAAATTTGGTTTGGAAGGATCTAGATTGGACAACTAAATCTAATTGAGGAGCAATTGGAGTCGGGGCTTTGGAAGCACATAAGGCAAGGATGAAATGCTTTTGAAAACAACTTTCTATTAGATTGGGGAATGTTGGAATGACATATGGTGTAAAGACACTGATTTCAAAGACTTCTTTCTGAATCCGTAGGGCTCAATGTTGGGGCTCGAAGCTTTCTCGACCGTTTGTTGAGTTATTGTATCAAGCAATGTTAGATGTACCTGAGGACAATATGCTACGGTCGAATTGTTGTACCTCTGGAAATTTTTCTATCAAATCCTATTATTCAGATCTCATCTTCACTCAAACGCAATTACAACAGAGCACAATCTCCCCTTGGAAATCTATTTGGAAAGTAATAGGTGTTTTTTTGTGCAAGATTGAAAAAGAGAGTGTTTAATCACTTACTTTTACAATGTAGCTGGACCAAAAAGATTTGGACTACAGTTGTTCCAAATTAGGAGTAAATTGGGTGACATCAGGCGTGGTGCATCAGGATCTTGGGGCTTGGAGAGGGACTATTGGTTTGTGTTGGCCAGAAACAGAAAACTAAGGAGCTGAATCCTCTGGGGATTCCTTTAGGAATAATGGGTTGTACACCCTTCACTTTTGGTATAGCAGGAAAATTAAACTTCATACATCTATTGGAAATGTTAGAAACACTATTTTGTGCTAAAATCTGTATATGGGTGCCGTGCTGTTTTGTATAGGGGTGGTACCCCCTTGGTGCTGCCTTAATGAAATTATATTTATCACTCAGAAATGAACTCAACTAAGTTTATAAAATGTTAGATCTCCAGTTGTAAGCTTGAGCTAATTGCTGTGGCTTACTCGCAAGAGAAGGTTCAGTCAGGCAGATTTGCCATACAAATTAAGAAACTGGATATTTAAAAGGAAGAGGGTTGGAAATGGTTGGGGTAGGAGTAAAGGGGCCTAATTTGTCATTCTGGAGGCCCTTATAGACACAACAATATACCATCAATGGTTGACTCCTAATAAAGGCTTGTGAAGGAGATGCCTTTCGTCTGACCAAAAAAAATTTCAGCAGGGCAATTGACAAACAATTCAGAGAGTTCCGAATGTGCAAACGATTATACATGCCAACAGATACCATCAATAGTTGACAACTAATAAAGGCTTGTAAAGGAGATGCTTTTTGTCTGACCAAAAAATAAAGGAGATGCTTTTTGGTGTGGCAGTTGACAAACAATTCAGAGAGTTCCAGATGTGCAAATGATTTTACGTGCCAAAAGAGGGGAAAAAACTCATTATTTGAGCCACAAAGCATACATTTTCACCCTGATCTTGCTGGTATCTACAGAGGTTCCAGTAAGGATCAGATCCGCAATTCCTATTCATTACCATACATCACAGAATTCTCCAGTTGAGGAGATTTTGGCACAATATTTTTCAGTAGAGAATAGATCCCAAACCTTATATGGATCAAACACCAACAGACAGATCTAATGTCATTTCAAAAGATTGAAATCAAACCAAGTAGATTATCCCAATAAGCTCAATTGCTTCCAGTGGTTCAATAACCTAAAGCTTTGAATGAACTAGGAGTAAACTCTTTATCAAATTCATGACTCGAAAATCCTAGGAAAATACTTGATTTCATATGGAAAAATTGAAAAGCTATATAGGCAACAAAAGCCCAGAGGTCTCTGAAATTATACACCATTCTCATAGAATGTGTAGAATTGATGTTTTGTAAAAGAATTTTTCATAGAGGATATACCTCTGGGTACCACATCAATTTAATTATTTTTTTTATCAATTAAAAGATTATTTTCCACCATGAGATGTCAAAAATGCATACCTCAAATTCGTCACTTAACAGAAACTATTCAAACAAAATCAGAATATTATATGACCGAAAATGCCATGAAATCTCATAACAATGGTGCGATTCTCCAATGCATAATCCAAATCATTAAACCGGTTAGCTTACACAGACTTGGGATTGTTTAACTCCTGCAAATTGTAGACAATATGCTGCGCACAAACAACCATAACATATCTTCTTTCCTTTTAAATTTAAATAAAAGAACAAAAGAGATGAAATAATTATCAGCTTTCCTCTTTCAAAATAAGAAAATGCAAAGAAAAGACTCAAATAGGGATCCTAAAGTATACCTGGCCTTGAAAAGGTTGCCAGATCTTCTCCAAATTTGTAACATTGCCAGAACATCATCTAGGTTAACTTCAGTCTTGAACCCGATATCACTTAGCAACTTTTCACTTCTCACCTATTGAAAGGAAAAACAGCACACAAAAAAAATATATGAAATTTTGCCAGCATAGGCCTGACATTTTAAAGGGACATACACGGCCTTGATTTTAGTCATTAAGAATTCAGCGCATGCCAAATCATCAGTTATGCTTCCTCAATTTTGCTTCTAAGGAACATGGTCAATGAGTCAATGTTCCTTCAATATCATCAAGAAGATTGGCAAAGTATATACAAGATCCAAAACTTGTGCTCATTCTTGGAAAAAGCAAAATAATCGAATATTGTTTACTAAAATCACAGCAATCAACATAGAACAAGTTGAAGTAAATAGGAGCACACAAGGCTTTGACCTCAGAGCTAACCAAGTGGCATTTTTAAAAACAGACAAAGAAGAAGAGGTAAAAAATAAAATAAAATCTTGTTCCTAAAGACTTCACGAGTGGAATGTTGAGATAAAACTTGCAAACAGGAAAGTAAGCTAAAAGGCAAGACTGTGGCCCAAGAAGTAAAGACTGCCTAACCTTTGGGACAGCATAGGGAGCAGAAGCACCCAAAATTAAGCGCACCGCCTCGCAATCATAGAATAAATCCTTAGGGCAGTGGAGATCATCATCCATGCTTGATACTACCCACTGGAGATCACAGATACTGTTCATAAACGATGACTTGAAGGGTTTGGGATCCTCATTAGATGTAGGGTAGTAATAACCATTTACTTTATCATAAAAAAGATGTTCCCAATAAGTATCAAGAACCTCCAACAGATATTTGCAACTCTCCTTATTGCCTGTTTTAGAAAACTGGGATAACATTTGAACTAACTCCTTTGATTCCCAATCTTTCACAACCAACCCGGGGGTGATAAGGTCCATATCAAAAAGCATTCTCTTAGAGTTTTCAGGAGATATATCAGTAACACTCTTCTGAACTTGAACTACTTGCAGAAAATCAGCGATACCCATTTCCTGAAAAAATTCCCTCCACTTCGTCTTTCCACAAGAGAATGACTCCGTGACTGGATGTTTCAAATAGGATGAATCAACCACATGCCATCTCATGTCTGTAACATTAATCAGCTGATGTATGTTTATAGGATTTCCATAATCTTCACTGAAATGAATTGGCACCTCAACAATGCGTTTGAAGCCATAATTTGTCAAAATAAAAGCTTTATTTCGCAACTCTGATATGATTGAATCCTTGTCAATCCGACAAGTTGGGCAGCCAGATTGCAGGTGGATCATCACAAAGCAAACATATTCTATCATTAAGTTCTTATCCAAGCTATTCCTGTCAATGGATAGAGAAGGCAAGATGTGTACTTTAACAATTTCATGTGCTGATAGCCGCTGAACACCAATTCTGTGAAGCATTTTTGTGACATTATCCACGTAATCCACATCCAAACATGAGAAATCATCTGTCACCGAGAAGAGGGCAGGGCTTACAATACAGAGTTTCCTATACATACTGGGAAATGCTCTGAGCCCATGCTCACCATCAGATCCACTGCTCATGCCATCAGTATGTAACCAAATAGTACCTCTGTCTAGTGAGCTGTAAGTACCATCAGAAAGTGGAATAAATGCAATCTTCTGAAGGTTCTTTATGAGATCTTTCTCCATCCTAGAGACATCGGCAACAAGACCAGAAGACTGAAATGACATCATGTAAAGAACGTTTAGAAAGCGACATAACCAGGACAGACCAAGTGACTGGAGACCATTTTCCTTGTTACACAAAGAAGACAAGAGCTGCTGTAAAGTTTTAGTACCATATTCCTCAATACCTAATGCCCTTGCTAGCTGATCAGACAGAACTATGTCCTTGTTCAAGAACCCAAGGCCAAGGTGCTCTTGCAGCAAACCATCAGTTAGAAGAGTCTGAGCCTGTTCATCCCAACCCCTCAAAACCTTGCATGGAGGAACCCACTTGCCGCAATCTCCTTCCAGGAGTAAGCAGTTTGACATGCGGAGCCTGGAAATTATCATCCTTGGAAGACTAGCAAAAAAGCCATGTACTTCACCAAGTAGTGGAACAAAGCTCATATATGCTGATACAGCCTTACCTGGATTCTCCCTAAAACAAGGAAGTGCACAAAAAAATTCCTTCGCACTTGCAAACAACTCAGGACACTCTGACAGTAACCATTGGTTCCAGGGACTATCTCCATCCACTTCCTCTCTTGATGAGGGAAGTACAAAGTCACCTTGGAGAATAAATTTTAAACCATAAGTTCTCAGAGGAAGAAATGCAAATACTGGCTGTTGCACCAGAAAGGGGATGTAATAACCGCAATCTCCTTCCTGCAGTGTAAATGCCATCGCAATCTCCGTAATCTGCACATCGCGCCGAATGAAATTTGACTGCAACTTTCGAGAAACTACCAACCATGTCATTTTGTCTTTCCCATGAGAAACCTTGACAATATTATTCCCTAGAACCTCTTTTCTCATGATTATCAGTGAGTCATTCAGCATGTTTCTAAACTTAATACACTGGAGACGATGAAGAAAGAGTAACAGTGAGGGATGAAGATCTGAAAACATAGTTAAAATGCTTTTCATGGCACTTCCTTCTGACAGCTTTGATCTGAAAGGAAGTACAATACAAGTGTTCCAGCAGCTACCATTCATATCATCAGAATCACTAGAAACCAGCCTGGAGAATAAATCGACATTGCAAGCAGGGATAAGAGTTGGCAGGACAAAACCAATTTGACCTTCAGTTATGTCAAACTTCACATGAAATCCATTAGAATGTATCTCTGGAGCATCTGTTACCTAAAAAAATATTGAGCAGAGTCCATTAAATTGATCTTAACTCACGCTAATCAGACCATAAAACAACCTGACTTCAGATGATTTGTAATAGCTCTACAGAAAAAGATACTTACAATTGAAGGGAGATGTAAAAGGACAGAAGATATAAACATAGCTCGCGAAGAGAGCAGTTTCAATTTAATTTCATAAACCTAATATAAGATGATGATGTTGGCATAACCTTCTCTATATGAATCTTTGTAACGATAGCACTAAGGGCCCATTTGGCAAGTTGCCAAATAGTAAAAATTTATGTTCTTTTGTTTCCAGAATCATTTTGGGAACAGAAATCCGTTTGTTAAATTTTTTGTGCCCGGGCACAATTTTGCAAAAAATTGTTCCCAGAATCAGTTTTGGAATAGAATCAAGAAGCAACTTTTGCTTCTTGATTCTAGAACAATTTTTCCATTTCTAATTCTTCTTGGTTTCTTCTTTTTTTCTGGTTTGTTGCTCTTCTTCTTCCAGGCGTGCCACCAGCCACCCGCTGGCCACCGGCCGCCAGCAACCGGCCACAGGCCAGGGCCGGCGAGGGCGGCTCGCGACGGCGACGGCGAGGCCTTGCCTTGGCTAGGCGAGGCTCGACCTCATCCAGATCTGGCGAGGCCGACCTCGCCGGCCCTAGCCTATGGCCGGTTGCCGGCGCCGGCGACTAGTCATGGCCAAGGAAGGGAAGGGAAAGAAAAAAAAATAAAAAAAGGAAAGAAATATTTAAAAATTCAAAATATTATTAAAATATTATTAATAAAATGAAATTTTGTGTAGTTACCAAATGCATTTCTGTTCTTTTTCTATTCTAAGAATAGAAATTTTGGGCAGTTACCAAACGCCTTCAAATGCTTAGAAATTGTTCCCGGGTACGGAATAAAAAAGAATCATTTCTAAGCAGAATCAGTTCTTGGACACAGAATCGTTGCCATACGCACCCTAAGAATATCAATCTCTCCAATTAACAGATGAAGACTGATTTTCTCAAAATGCTAAAAATAAATTTCTTTCCAATTAACCATGTAAACAATGAGATCAGGTCTCAACCACCTTCATCTGTATCTGCAAACAAGGTTCCTACTTGCCAGGAAACACCGATTGTGAATATTCACTATAAAAATAGAGAAGTCAACTTCATGATTAATCTCTCCAAGGATTTTAACCTTCAGAGGTGTAATAACATATAAGGGAGGGTTTTTTTATACAAAAAGATGCCTTGGATCAAATATAGAGGACATTCATGCACATAGAGCAATTCTAAGCATTGTGCACAGCCACATACTCAAAAGTCTTGCTGTCCTTTCTTGCTTAGAAATAAGGCATCTACAACACCATAAACAGACAATGCACAGCGAGAGTCAAAAATGATTTTTAACAAGGAAAAAAATAGTTAATCGAATGCTCTAGCCTTCACCTGGTTTGATCTGACACTTTGGATTTGGTAGCATATTGGAAGGAGTGAATCAAGTTAGATTACACTTAAAAAATTCAATGAAGACACATATGAAAGCCACAAGTTCTTAATTGCAAAATCTACAGTGAGCACTTAAATTCAGCAGTCAGCTCTCGATTAGATCTGGATTCAGAGTTTGCCTGCTGCTCAAAGGGAGGAAGGTGCACCAGATTCCAGGTCTATTTTTAAGTAATAATCTTAATCACCGAAAATCTAGCAGAAGCAATCTGATACAATGATAATGTTGCGGAATAACTGCTTGTTGCTTCCGCTTCGCACATGTATGTGCCCAGGATTTTTTATTGTTTGAGCTCAATAAGCGCCCCGTGCAAATGCATAATTTGTGTCCATGCACGCATGCACGAGAGAGAGATAGTCATTTTTCTCTATTCTCTCTCAAATCACGGTGAAGTTGAATGACATGAAGGTGGAAGCAGGAAAAGAGACAAAGAAAGGATGAATAATTGTGATGATGGCTCTTGTAACATACCCGAAATACCGATTTGAAGCCTATCCCTTTCTGCCCAATGTATCCAGCACGAGATCCTTTTTTTGTTGAATTTCCAACATCACACAGAGCTCTGATGTTTTCAGCCAAAAAACCTCGTTCATTATTTAAAATAACGATACCTGAATCTTGAAGAATGAATGTTAAAGTTGGTTCCACATATTCCAGATAAAGATTATCATCAGCGTTTTGGACCTGAATCAAATGTCAGGAGATGCAGTCAATACACCGTGATAGAATTTGACAGGTTGCCTTTGGCAATACAAACATACATGAACATAAAAAGATGTCAGCATGTTTGCGCAACTGTAAACAATGGTTCTGGGAACACCACAACAAAGAGAAATCATGTGAATCAATGCCTAAAAAATTAAATACCCATTGAAACATATTGCAGAACTTCCTTATTTTTCACAAAATTCTCAATGCAATGCCCGTGAGCAAAACTTTACAATTCACCTAATGAGCATGTGAATTGCAACATGTAGAGAATATAGCCATATCTTTTGTGGATAAAGGTAAAACATAGGAGATCAAGGCCATATATACAGATACGTACATATATACATATATAAACGTAAATATAGATATATATATATATAGATATTAGTGCTCATCATCTTCTTCGCAAAAACTCTCTTCTTGGAAAAAAGCTTGAATTATATACTTGTTTTCTTGCTATCTACAAGAACAGATGTCCAGCAAAAAATTCCAATGCTATGGTCAGAAGGTCTACTTATTTTGACTCCATTGAGAAGATATTATTAATTTCTAGCTTCAGGGACTGCAACTTGTCCGCGCATACATTCCACATATGTGAGTTGGGATACCGTTTCTCCCAATACTAATTTTATCACATGCAGGAATTTCTATACCAAATTTCTTTTGTGGCTCCTGATGAGTTCAATTCCTCCCACAGATTATGCATCTGTCAGCTTGAATTGGTGAAAATAAAAGAAAACTCAATATAAAGATTATAAATATAAGATGCATATTAACAGATAACCTATAAACCCCTACACTAGCTTCAATTGAGGTCATTTCTAACTGGGAATTTTCCAATTATAGTTAAGTAGATCATATAGCTTAGTATTATGCAGAAGTATTGAGACTTGCACTATCAACTTTTGTCAGCATAAGGCCGGATAATGCTTAGCATATACATAAAATCCATTTCATACAAATCAATAAAGCACGGAGAGCTGCCAATTGAAAATGGATTCGGCAGAGTGGGAGATGCAATTGAAGGGTTGTTCAAGTTAACAATTGACAAAGCCCAAATACAATAGAACGGTCAATAAAAATTATGACACCTCTTATTGAACTAGATTGGAAAATGAAAAAACAAATCGAATGCAAAAGCGCATCACGACAAGGTATCTTACCAGCTCAAGGAGAAAATGTGAATCTTGAGAATACAATTCTTGTGAAAGACAATGAAGTGCTCTCCCGAGGCGAGCATGCTGTTTCTTTAACATGTTACTCTCTGTAATTGAGAGAGTTGGATCCAGTCCAAATTCACCCCTCCTGATTGACTCAATCACACATGCAGCATCAGTATCTCCGTTCAGTTCGGTGGAAGGGTGTACGTCACCATTGCCCACATTACCAGTTGTGCACCTAGCTCTGGTAGACACATTTCCTTCATTTGAAACAGAGACAACAATATCAGCCCTGGAAGAGGAAAGCTCATCTAAAGAACCTTCCACAGGTCTTAAGCTTGTGATCGTATCTGACCCCGTAGTTTTAATGCGCGGAGTACCACTGGCAGTAGAGCTGGTACCAGCAGTGGAAGCAAATATATTGTTATCATCCATCCATTCAATTATACCAAGAGAAAACCCTATTCTACGGAGCAGGAGCCGCTGCTGTAATTTGTTGCATTCCTTCAAAATGGCCAGAGGCGCATCCTTGAGAACAGATCGTAGTCCAGTAAGCAACACATCAGCAACAAAAGCACAAAATTCCGATGGTACATAATCGAGACAATCTAGAAAAAATCTCAATGCAAGAGGCACTGCTTCGTTGGCTATGCTCCCTTTTCCAGGGAGGTTACCCTCAACACTACCAGAAGTTTGATCCAAAATTTTATCGTGAAGGCCATGCATGCGAGAGTTCCTACAAACATCAGCATCAACACCATCCTGAGAATTTTCAATAATAACTTCAAATGCTCGACACGCATGGGATTTTAGAAGAGCCAAAGGAACATGTTTTTCTCCTCCAACTAATGAGAAGAATGACAATAGCTTCACCGCAGTCAGGAAAGAGGATCCTCTTAGTGCGGCTTCCAAGAAAGAATCAATGGTCGCTGAATGGTCAATCCGTATCACTTTCCCATCATTTGTCACCAAACACAACAGCTCCTTTGAATTGACTTCATTCAACAGAAAATCAACCAAAGGACCATGTGCAGGAGCAAATTTCCGTTCCCAATGTGACCATGACAATAAGTCCGAAAAAATTGGTGCTTTGAGCAAGACTTCAATTGCATCCTTGCAAGGTGCATGTAGAGGTCTTTCCATTTTAGGATCAATATCAAATCCTACAGTTTTGACTTCCAATGATTCCATACCATCATTCACAGATGATGATGCCACCAATGATGTTGAGTATAGCACACATCTTGATGTCACACAGCTCCTATGTTCTCTCACCATCTCTAAGAAATCCTTAAGAAAACTACCACCAACAATTTTAAAATTGAGTAGTGGGAATTGCTGTCTTAGAAGCATGAAAATCCTTTGCTCGGTAATAGTTTCATCCCCCCATAGATTATCTGCTGCTTGACATATTATTGCAACTAGTTGCTGCTGAAGCATGCAAATATCAAAAGGGGTCTTTTCACATATTTCACCTGTCAAAAGCTTTTGAACTTTTCTAGGCAGTTCTGAGTAGTTCTTTCCTAAGAATTGTAAGAAGTTCCCATGACCAAGGGACTTAAATTCCCCCACAGAAAACTGCTCTGCCACCCAAGACTCACAATCATGAAGCTTCTTGAAAATGTTATAATTCTCATCAGAAGGTAATTTTCGCTTATAATGGAGTTCATCATCAAGCTCAAGAAAAGAAGCCACTTTGCTGATCACATCCTCAACAGTAACACCTGTAAAATTTCAAGTACAGTTTGAATGATAGAACAAAAAGGCCAGAATCAGATAAGAAACTCAGAGGGGCTAAAATCTATGTTGCAAGTTTTTGTATGAAAGTATCGTTGGTCCCCCCTTGCTAACTACTTAGGTGAGGAAAAGTACAGATCAAATTTGGTTCTGGTAACTTTAAGCAGAACATCATGGGATTGACCTACATTCAAATTTTTACTACAGAAGAAAGCAGTCGTGCCTCCTTCTTGAGCACTTAATCTCCCATTGCAATTACTCAGCAATTAAGTTTTGTCTCTGCTTCATGCAGATTTTTGTAAAATGAACACAAAAGAAAACTGAACTATCAAGAAAAGAAGTAGAGCATGCGCATGCAAGCACGTGAACATGTGTGCGCAAGAGAGAGAGAAGAGGGATCGGTGTTCATTCATCAACAATACTCACTGTATGTTGCCTCATTATTGAGTGTACTGGTGACTGCTAAGTTCTTTTCACTGGGCACAACATCTATTATTTCGTACTTCGTGCCCTCATCAGAACCTGTCTCATCTCTTTCGTTTTCATCAATGGCTTGAAGAGTATCATATATATTGTCCCACATTCCACATTTGATAGAAGTCACCTATAACATATAAGAAGGAACAATCACAGGAAGAACTAAATGGTCTTGCGGACACAGAAATGCCAAACAATCATTGGTCCAAATAAAAAATTGCACAACCAAAAATGCCTCGTGGAAATATTTTTTGGAAGGTCTTTCAACATGAGTAACAGCTAAAATAGGAACATGGCCAATCATATACATTGAATTAACACATGAGAGCTAATCCTGCCAATCCAACTCAAAAACGTTTAGATATTCGCACAAAGCCTAGAGCACAGAAAGATACTAATGGCTTCATACAGACAAAATAAACATAAATTCATGTTGGAAGAAAGGGGAAACAGGGGCTATAATATCATGCACTTCAATGTTCCAATAAGCATTTCACTGCAAATAGAGAAGATATAGCGTAACTAAGACCGAAATCATTTCTGTGGACAACTACACTGTTAACTTCTTAGCATCTTGGGCTACCCTGAGGAGCCAAATTCAAAAGGAAGCACTTTGGAATCTAATTATGGAGAAGTTGCTGCAAAACTAGAAAAGTTCGGACCATGTTTCTCTTTAGAGGAAGGAAATTTAACTCTCGCAAAGAACAATATTGCAGATCTCTTCACCGTTTCAATGTCAATCCAATCCCAAGTTGGTGGCAGAGATTGTATGGCATTAAAAACCTTTACAAAGAAACTGGCAAAATGCTCACTAATCAATTCCTTCATTGAAATAATAGTCATCAATTTACTGATACTAATTGATTTATCGATCAAACATCATCCTAGGGGGTCTGAAAGCATGATCAATTACACTTTCTATCAAATGATTATCTTCTTCCCTTTTCTTTCGTTGAGTAGATTCCACCATAACATGTCAATTTTTATCAGATTTTGATGATTTGCAATCCAAAAGGGAACATCATAAGGAAGATCATAGACATAAAACACAGGTACCACATTCACTATCATATTTGAAAGAGGAGATAGATCAGAATTGTAAAGATTGAAGGTAATTTTTTTTGTTGCGAAGACCATCTCGTCTGGGATCAAATGCTTGAGGAGATTTTCTGAACTCCTTCAAATAGCAAGATGGAAAGACCTGTTTGTTGTCGATCCATTTTTTTCTGCTGACAAGAACCCAAACGTTCACATGTATGGGGGTTGAAAAACCTCCCCAGGTAAGTGAGTCACCCAGTCACCACAAAAGGTGAGATCACACAAGGCAAAGAATTGAGGAAGCAAACTTTCCACCTCTTAGTTGCCAGAGCCAATCCATCACCACCATACCATGACCCTCATGGTTAACAATAAAAACAAGCGTGCAATTGGACTTCTCTATTACTGATAAAACCACGAGGATATGGATGCCTTCAGTTTTTTAAAAATTCAATAATAAGTGACAAAGTCCATTGGAAGCTGCAAAGATCTCAACACTCTCACAACAATTTATATTTCATGAATTTTTTTTTGGATAAATCAGCTACATTATAGATGCCTGTACGATTATCCCCTTGATGTCTTTAAGAATGCCTATAGCAGTTTTTTTTTTTTTCGATCGGGAATGCCTATAGCAGTTGAGACTTTGGTTTTATTCCCAGAAGAGACAGGGACTGCTCAAAATTAAGGACAGGGTGTGGAGATTAAGGCATTTCCTACACTATAACCATTACAAAGAGGGTATAATCTCTTTATAAATGCCGACCATTTACAATATTTACAAATGTCAAATCCACCCTTTTATTTCATTGCCCAGAACTTGAAGTCAGAATTTGGCTTTTGAATGTTTACATAAGAAAGTATGCCGCAGGATCAATCACAGGAGTTTAGGATAAGCAGTAAAAACACCAATAAATGGCCTAGGTTCAATTTTCCATTTCTTTGTAAGTAGGTCGGAAGAGTGAAAATGCAAGCAAGATGGAAGAATCGCCGCCTCATTTCAAAGACACGTCAATGGCCTTTGTCATTTGGCGACGGGGGATAATTATGTTTCCATAAATGTTTAGAACACTATCCTGAAATGACATATCTAGAACAACAGTGGCCCCATTAGCATTATGTTACACATACATGGCATGGATTTCCAAAGATGAAAAAACATTCCTAAGAAGTAGGTTAATTCTCCAACAGAATTATGTCATATAAAATCTCATGTCCTTCCCAAGAATTGTAAATTCCAACTAACTATTACACTCGTAACCAGATATTTTTGCCCCAAACCCCTTTTACAATGGCAGTACTCCAGTATTTGAATCATAAAACAGGACCATGTGAAAATTGCCTCCTATCTCATACACGAACAATCTGAACCAGGGCTTTCATGATTTTTTTCTCCCACCAAAGCAACACTCACTCTGTGCAGCTATTGCTAATTTTGTCCTCAATTCTATGTCCACTAATCTGCCAAACAATCTCATCTCACTGAGCAAAGGTTCACATCTCAGTTATCTAATGATCCAACAAAAACAATAGAACAGAAGCTTAAGCTACATTTTACAGGCAAAGATGCTAACAGTTCTCATTTCACTTGCTTAGCTTGTAAGTGCAGTCCCTGCAAGTAACCCCCTTAGCAGAGGAAAACACCATTACTCTTGCTTGATTAATTATGTACGCAGTGTCACGACTTAACTGACCATACATTCCTCCTACATCGCAGGCTGCTTGTATTTCTATCCACACTTAGTATGATAGCAGGTGCTAGTAACATGCACTTTCAATTCTTCCTTCATGGCTATTTCACCTGTGAAATCACACACCAAGTCCTATGATTCATTAACAGAGAAATGCCTAGACCATAGTCATCACAGTTGGCATCTGAACCTGTCCTTAGCAATTTAATAGAACAGGGATAGAAAATCAAGTCCAAGCGCAAAGTATCATCATGGCCATTATGAAGAATTTGGGATAATACAATCATAGTACATAAGCAAAAGAAAATGATGTCACAGAGAATATCAGTCATATTTTCAATGAGTAGCCAGATTGTATACAATTGCCAAGATATTAATGCTGATGTCATAAAAAAAATGTCCAAATTACTTACAGCAATATTAAGCAATCCAAGACAAGGATGTGTTGAAAACATAGATATTATCCTCTTTCTTTGTTGAGCTGTAATATCATATGACTGAAGCATCCCTTTTAGAACCTGCAAGAACAAAAAATGATGGCAAATGCAAACTCTACTGGATACAATAAAAATTTTCTCAAACATACAGAGAGAAAAGATCAAAAAAACCCTTGCAAGAAAGGGAAAAAAAACAGCAAGGGGTGGCTTCAATCTCGAAATGATATACAAGAAGCAGGTCCATTGCGACATTATATATATCAATAGGAACGAAAAGTATAGCATATCGGTTAGAATTAAAAATTCTGCCCAGAATCCAGCAAAGTTGCACAGAAATGAACACCTCTAACAAACCATGCTACAACTGGAAACAAACAAAAGTACCAATGGGCCCGTTTGGTTCGGCTTTTCAAATGCAACTTGGGGGAATGCAAATACCTTTAGGTGAAAGCCACTCGGGGAAATGCAAGTGGCGTTTGGTAAAAAAAAATTTGTGAAGCTACTTTGGCCTAAGTAGTGTTTGGTAAAAAAAATTTTGCAAAGGGCTTTGGCAATTTTTATTCTTAATATTCCGGTTTTGCCCCTATTACTGTTCATCTTCTTCACCGGCGAGGGTGGCCGGCGAAGGGCCGGCGAGGGCGGATCTGGCCGGCGAAGGGCCGGCGAGGGGCCGGCGAGGTCGCCTGACCTAGGCGACGACCGCCTGGGGTCGGGCGACCGCCAGGCGCCGTCGCCTGGGTCGGCGGTCGCCTGAGGTCGCGCTACCCAGGCAACGGTCGCCCAACCCCAGGCGGCCGTCGCCTGAGGTCGCGCGACCCAGGCGACGGCGCCTGGGCGGTCGCCCAACCCCAGGCGGCCGTCACCTGGGTCAGGCGACGTCGCCGGCCCTTCGCCAGCCACCCTCACGGTGAAGAAGATGAACAGTAACAGGGCAAAACCGGAAAATTGAAATTTTAGTGAGGGCAATTTGGGAAGGGAAAAATAGGCTTCAGCATTTGTGGAATGCTGAAAGCCCAAAGCTGGTTCGGACCAGCTTTGGGCTTTCGGCATTCCAATGGCATTCCAAATGCTGGCTTTCGGCTTTCCGGACTCGGAAAGCCGAACCAAACGGTTCAGCATTTTGGGAAGGGGCTTTCGAGGCCGAAAGCCCCTTCCCAAAGCTGAACCAAACGAGGCCAATGAGAGCTGAACCCACTCCCCACCCCAAAAAAAAAAAAAAAAACGCATCTCAGAAGTTAGTTAGCACCTTCACTTCAGATACTTCGGAACTACATTTTATTCCCCCTTACATCGATGCTACCAAGAGACAAGCTACTCTTCTTATTTCATCTGTTAGAAACTGCTTTAAGATCTTACCAACATAAGTTATAAAACGCTCTCCATCTTTAACTACTTAATTTATCATATCTTGCTCTCATTTGTTGGTACTGATAAAGAGATTAGCTAATTGAAAAGGGCCTAAGATGCTAAGCCTCCTCTATGACCTACCAGAATATGCCAATTGTAGCCTCTTTCAAAAACATATTCAAACAAGTAGTTGTTCTCACAAAAGCTAAGTTCCTAGAGGCTTAGACAAGCACGCCAATAGTAAACATCAAGCATAATCTTCTCCCAAGTATAAAAGCACTCAAATCTAGAACCAGGGTATCTCAGAGTTCTGACATGAAGCATGGAGCATAAAATGTTGTAGTATCTCTTATCGACTTGCTGATGACCTACAGGTGAGTTGCCAATTAACCAGATAGATTCTCTTTATGGTATACTCATGAACCCCATATCGGGCTTGTCCAATCCCAAGGGAAAATAAATGGTCAATACTTCCCAGGTAAAGATAATCGACTTCTCTTTTGAAAAAGATCCGAAATAAAAAGTTAGGATGGCTCAAGTCGGGTCAGACATAAGCTTGACTTGTAGTATACAAGGACATTATAAATACACGATATTAATAATTCCCCGTATCTCACTTTTATCAAAAACAAGTTCCCATATCTCAGTCCACACTTGCTAGCTTATCCATTTATTTCCTAGGTCATAGGTAGCTAGCCCTTAGACTTGGTTGTGCTATGAATAACATATGAACAAGTGATCTAACAGTATGCAAAAGATAATCAGATGAAGATAAGGATTACATATAACATTAAGGACACGACAATTTTTCTCTAAATAAGAATGAAAAAACATACTTGAGTCACGTTTTGCTCCCGACAAGTCTCCTTCCATGTTGTGATGAACATTCTCATTGAACTATAAGCAAGAGATAGATCATTTTCATTCAAGCCGGCATCATCTCTTTCCCCACTACCATTGCCCCCTGAAAGGGCATCCTTGTCTATCTTATCTCTTCTTAACAATTTGTTGGGAACAGAGATGCTACGCGAAGCATCTTTAGACTTCCTTTTCTTTTTCCGAGTGACAGTCTCAACACAGTTTGAGCTTCCACCACCAGAAAGGTCAGTGTCCGTTTCAGCTTTTAAACCAAGCCTCGTCCTCTCTTCAATTGCCGATGGATAAGGACAGCTACCGACTCGGTCACTTTTAGTAGCCTGTGATGACCGATCCGAATGGCTGCTCAACTTGCCTTCATCTTTCTTATCTTCATCTTTACAATCATCACTATCCTCGTCTTCAGAGTTTGATGACAGAAACCTTAAATGCTTGACACCAAAATCCTCATGCACTGAGGAGAATGATTTAACTCGTTCAGATATAGAACTGAAGCGCTCATCTAGTTGTTTCTTCGCCATAGAAAAAAGAGGACGCTTCCTTGTTTTATTCTCAGATCTCTGTTTCGACGACTTTGAGCAATTCTTTAGAGTAACATCCTCCAATCTCCTCGCTTCACGCACACAAGAAATATGCATCCTAATGTCATAAATTCCAGTACAGCAGATTTCAAATAAACCTCCATAATGAAAACAATTACTTTACTAAACATAATGGCATTAAGAAAGAATCTAATCTAATGTTACATTGCACCCAAGAGACACTGTACAACCAACATATTGAAAACAGGCCACATTCAATGCCAAGTGAAGGCTGTTACCATTCTTTAATCCTTCTTTGGCAGAATTTAAATATATTGATCACTATTCTCATGTAACACCAAGATTCACTGGAATGTAAAAGGAAGGAGGGAGGAGGGGAGTTGCTGTCGCTATAGGTTCAGTGCATGACATCATTTTAAAATGCGTCTGCATTAGACTTCAGAGACATGTACGAACAATTCCCAGAAAATGTCATTGCCAATTCCTGATTGTTCTATAACAAAAGTACAAAACTCAAAAGATGAGTCGACCGTGACCACTTGAAGATAATAAATACCACGAAAGATTGAAAAGAAAATTTTGTCTGTTAACGGTCAGGCAGTGAAATCAGTGGACCATTTACAGCAAGTTCCAAGTAATGTTGTAACGGGTGTCCAGTCAGTTAGGCCAAAAACAAGAGCAAAGTTAAAGGTAAAGTACACGATTTAGAAAATTGAAAAGAGAAAATTGAGAGATGAATTGACTGCACAAAAAATTTTCATTTCTTTTCTTTCCTAAAGGTTCAGGGAATAACTTGAATACTATGCTCTCTTCTACAATCTTGAATGCAGAACACATGCTTGCTTTCAAAAGAGAGGTCATATTAGAAATTTACAACGACAACCTAATCAATTAACCAGCCTCTACAGCTGCTCTTGAATGTGAGAAAACTTGCAGAAAGGAAAGAGCGAAAAAGGAGAATTTTTCTATCATTCTAGAATGGCATTGGGAAACTTCTTCAGTCATGGAAGGAGCATCCTACATCAAAGAACAGTCACTAATCACAGTAACTCATGTAGCCAAGTATAATGCAGTCTTGAACAGTACTTAGACCTTCTCTAAATAAAACTCGCATTAAAATTGAAGATCAAGACTTGAGAACTTCAATTACTGACAAGTTGCAAGGGTAATAACTACATGCAACTGTAGATAAATAACAAATATAACCAAATTCTCTTAATCATGTCAACGTTGTAGGAAAAAATAAGTTTTGGGATGTTATAGCTAGAATTTTCCTAACTCTATTAGAAACTACACTAGGTTTTCTGCTTGTCTTCATATTCAGGAAACGAGCTCTATCATATGAAAATGACAATTGCTAATTGTTGTTGTTCAAAAAACCTTTCGGAAATGATAAAATTATGCATAATAGAAAGAAAATTGCACACATTACATACCCCAAATTTTGAATTCGTACAGCAAGATTTTCTTTGCTTGAGACGGATCGCTTCTTAACAATAAAATCAAGGAATTCCTCAGTCTTCACATCTTTTTTGAAAGAAGTATCCAAAAAGTCACAAAGATAAGAAATTATCTCCTCACTAGTTATCTTAAACACCGCAGTAGCATCGGCCTTCACAGAAAAATAATGTAACACGAGGGGATGTCGCAATAATGGACCCAACTCTAGCTCTTCAAACCGTTCCACTCCTTCATTCTTGCAGATAGCTACTTGCAGATCATACAACGATGTGATCCACCGAACCCCGACAAAGCAATGGATAAATGCATTCATCTGATAATAGAAAGGCTATAGTCATAAAAAGAAATTAAGACAGCTCATGTAAAATGAAGACGCACCTTAGAGTTCATGTGCATACCTATGGTTAACCATGCAGCAATGTATATGCCAAATGCCCCCAAACCCAACACAAAAACACACTGCGACCACGAGCACGGTCGTGCACGCAAAGAGAGAGAGAGAGAGAGAGAGAGAGAGAGAGATTTGCTTCATGGTAGTTGTAAGAGAACCAAGTCCAGTAAAAACCAAACAACTTCAAACATGTTCTAATATCATCATATTCCATAAAAGGAAGCATGCTCCCCAAAACTCCACCATTGAAATAATAAGGCTAAGATCCTAACTTCGTCTGTCTCTGATATAGTGTCTATGCATATTGTACTTCTCATTTCTATGCTAAGAAAACAATCTCATGTACCCAAAGCTTCAGTTTCTCAAAACCCCGTCCCAAGAAGTGAACAAGTAGAATCCGATCCCAACAAATATCAAATAAGATGATCGACGACCGGACTAGGAAGCACCAACTTGTTCCTTGCCAGAGGCCAAGCACGTTAGTAATGCGGAGCTCATGCTTCAAAATTAGCTTTCAAATCAAATTCATTCCTTATCATGCCAGCCAGACAAAATGTCGCAGACCGGTTCGTCCTCATTACATTACCTTCCCTTCAGTCGCCATGAGCCGGTGAAGCGCGGGCACCTCCTGCATTTGAAATCCAAGGGAGCTCCACGAATCCACCCGCAGGGCCAGCAGCGCGGCCTGCGACACTTTCCAAGCCGAGACGCTTTCCCCGGCACCGACGAGCTCACGCCATGCCTTCGTCACCGCACGCTCCGTCCCCTCGACGAGCTCCTTCCGGCTCGGGACCTGGGGCCGCACCTGCGGCCGGGGCGCCACGCTCGGGAACTGTTGCTGCGGCGGGAAACTAGGGTTTTGGATAGGGAAAGCAGCGTTCTGCATCGGATAGCCGGGGATTTGATTGGCGATGGCCATGTTCTGGTGGATGAGCTGGAGAGCGGGGTTTTGGAAGTAGAAGTTAGGGTTTTGAAGCAGAGGATTCGGCATCGGAGTCGGCTGCCGCTGCACCTGCTGCTGGTGTTGCGGCGGCGGAGGAGGCTGGCCGCGGCCGCGGCCGCCGCCGGAGGGGCGGGAGCGCGGTGGTTGCCCGTACATGTGGTAGAGGAGAGAGCGACGGAGAAACGGTGGAGAGCGAGAGAGAGAGAGGGACGGGGGATGGGAGGAGGGTTCAGCAGAGGTTTTGCGGGTATTTATAGGGTTCAGATTTGGCGGTGCTTTGCGTGCCCGAGTCCTTCCGTTTTTTTAGTTGGCGTTCTTGCTTGCGCAGTAAAAACAAAAAAGTTAATTTCATGAAAAACGTCAAATTGATACACATATAATAATTTTATTTCAAATTAATTTTTTTACATCAAAAATCTCGTATTGATTCCGTTAAATTTTATCGTCATATTGTAAAGTTTGACAACAAGTGACAGTTGAAATCTCGTTAATTCCATAATGATCGATTTTAATACATGCTTGCGAATATTCAAATGGCGAGCCTAAAGAATGTTTCTTTGCAAAACTTTGTCCTTCCATTCTACTATTCATCGAAATTATGTTTTGGTTTCGAAAGGAGAAATCTCAATTACAGAAAAGCCATAAGGACAAAAATTTTGTTGCAGTCCTTGTCTTAAAAACTCCAACTAAAAGCCCCAAATTGAATGATAATGGTCATGGGAACATTGGGGTAGCTTGCACTGGAAAGTCTGGAGCAAGGACTCATCATCGTGGCTCGGGAGCAAGGGAAGGACTCCAACTTCTTGAAGTGAATGTTGGGTTCTCCGGAAGCAGAGCAGAGCATTTTGGTTTGAGAGTGCTAATGTTGAAACATCATCCTCTCTGGCAGAAGTTGTTCTCTGGATTGTAGATCTTTGGTTGGTGATGGATTGGAACTGTTATTTATCGCATGCTTTTCATGGGTCTCTGCCTGCGTCTACGAGATAATGTAGTAGGAGCATGCTATCTTCGCCCGATTTATTTTCTTTTTCTCTCTTTTCTCTCCTCGGATGTACCCAAAGACAAATTTGAAGAATAATCTTTAAATTTCGCGACAATTAATAAATCTATCGGCATGATTAGTGACTTTTTATATGAAAGAAGCAATTACCAAACAATATTCATAACCGATAGTTAGCAACTACTTAATTTTCTCTGAGATGAGTACTTGAGATTCACCTTCCAATTCAATGGAATTTATGTGTGACAATGTCCCATTGAGCTACACAATCCTCAAATCATAGATGGATTTGCGATTCATTCAAGCTTTCACTGAGACGAACACATTAAGCTAAGAGCAGAAATTCCTTTTCGTTGGCAAACTAGGATTGAATTCCATCTATTAAAATCAGTCAAACATCACATCCGCGAGGCACCATCCTGTGAACTTCTTAAGCAGGTCCCATATGTGGCTTGCTAAGAGGAAATGCACATCCGAACACATGATGTTTGACACAAGAACAACTACGGGATTACATGAAACATCTCTGAGAAAGAATGAGATGATCACAAACAACTGGAAACCAACGAAGGACTCTGCAACTTTCCAAGTTTCGAAAGTACACGGCATTGGTCATCCATGGAAGAGCTGCTTTTCCATCAACTAATCGTCATCCTCGTCAAAATCCGAATCCTCCGTCGGCTTCTCGCTTTCGGAATCGCTCACCACGTACCTTGTCTGCTTGCGGTTCACCCTCTGAGGCCTTTGTTTCAGAGGGGCCACTTCAGCCACTTCTTCACCGTCGTTAGACATATGATTGGATGACAGTTCCTCACTTCCGGTGGAGCTGTCCGCCTTACCTTCCCTTCCCAGCACAGAACTGCTTTTCTTATTGAAAGGAGATGCCCTCATCTTCCGTACTTTCTTTTCCGGCGAAACTCCCGTGCTTTCAGCTGGCTTTAACATCTCGGTCAAGAGCCGTTGGGTCGTTCCCCGAGCCTGCTGCCTGTTGGCTTGACCTTTCTTTGTTGCTGCAGGTGGCTTTGATATCTTCGCAGCAGCAGATGGTTTTCTGCCTCCTTTCTTCTTTGCCACCTCTGCTTCAGAGTCCACTGTCTCGTAGTCATCGTCATCATCTCCACTGTCATTACTATTTTCTTCCTCTGAAGTCTCCGAGAGGGTGATTGAGGGCTTCTTCCTTGCGGCAGCCCTTTTGCTGGGTTCTTTCACCTTGACTGGTATTTCAGGCACTTTGTCCTCTAGAGCTGCGTTGCATGGAAAATGTGTTACGCTAGAATCATCATCACCAAGTAACTACAGGCCACAGCAAAAGGATACAAGTATCAAGTAAACTTTGGGTAAATATGGCACATGTTCCTCTACGCATCAGCATTCCTTAATGTTCACTATCTCATGTAGCCACAGTATTTTACAGATGAAATTGACTTTTTAAGTCGAACAAATCGAAGTCACTCCAGCAAAAGCTCTTACCTGACGAATTATCTGGTGAAGATTCAAGGTTATAAGCAGCAAGTCGTTGTTTTAAGTCAAGCAACTCGAAGTCCTCGTCGTCATCTGAAACTGAGACACTCTTGCTAGGCTGTATAAATGAAAACAGAAAGGTGAATATCATCATCAAAGACAGCTGCCTTGATTTTAATTACAAGGAAGAAACCAAGCACACCTTCAGAGATGGGGCTTTCCTAGCAACGGCACCGCGTTTTGGTTTCGCAACATCAGCAGCATTTTCTGAAAGAGTAACACATCTACTGTCAGTGACTCCATATAATAATAATGATGCAAGCAGTTTAAGTTATAACACGAATTCCAAATTAACCTGCTTCCAATGCAATGGTTGATCCTTGAGTGACTTCTGCTTGAGCTTCTGAATTATTAGCTTTGGTGTTATTCTTGCGAGGCTTTTTTGGTGCCTGTCTGGAGACTTTTGTGCCAGCTCCATTTGCTTTGCTTCTTGCCTTTCTCGTTTCCTCAGCTTGGGCATCCATTTTTTCTTGCTCCTGCATACCACAGCAGAAAGCATTAATCAAAACAGAAAATAATGGCGTAATGTCAAGAGGGCATCAAAAACCATACATCAAGTTTTTCCTCTAGAGCAGAAAGATCATTCAACCACAAATTCTCCGGAGTTGCTTTTCTCAGGGCATCAACCTCGATAACAAGCTTATCCTTATCAGCACATAATTGCTGAACTTTCTCGAGGGTCAGTGCGCCAATTGCCATGGAGAGCAGATACTCATAATCACTGGCCCTCACTCCTTTGGTGGAGGCCTCTGAGTTCTCTTCAGTTTCTTCTGAATCATCTGTTGACCCAGCCACTGCTGTTTCAATTGTCTTCGTCTCCTTCCTAAAGGGAGCAAAGCCTTTTGCTTGCAGCTCTTGGAACAAATCTGCTCTCTTTCTATTGCTCACAATGATCTCTCCATGGACAACACCAAGAATAAACCTAACCTTATTGTCCAACATCACTAACTTTAACTCCAAGTTTTCCAGCAAAATTTTCTGCAAGGGAGAAATAGAAAGGTACTCATATTATGCTATTTGCAACCAAGTCACATATGAAAAGCCTGGGAACACAAGTAAATAACTGAAACCATTTCCTCGCTTTTGATAAGATTACCTTTCTTTTCTCATAACACTCAAGCCTTAAGTGGAAGAACTCCTCTAGAACTGCAGAAATTTAAAATGAGACATGGATTAGAATACCCTATATAAGTAATAATCCTACTAAAATATGGTTGATCATGATCTAAGCAGCAAAATTAGCATACTTTGTTCAGGGCTATCATATTTCTTAATCACTCCATTAGAGTCAAATAGGTGCATGTTACTCGTGCTGATTGTTGAGGTCAGCTTAAATTTCTTCAGTAAACCCTCTTGCTTTGCTATCATCATGTTCTCCTCTGACAACATAACTTCAAAATGTGCAGTTACATCATCACTGTGCTGCCTAAATTCCTGCAATTGGCAAATACATTTCAGCAACGATGTTCAAAGACAAGATGTTATGCACAAGGCTGGGTTGCTTGAGAGCTCATTACCTTGATGAAAGGATCCTTTGCTTTATCTTTCTCTCCAGTTGATAATGATTCCAAGAACTCCCTGTAATCCTGAGTCCATCGACGTATCGGAAGCTCTGTGATCTCCAGTGTGGTATCATTGACTTCCTCAATTATCCCACAAACAGTGTAGCTGACACCAGCTTCCTTCGTGGCTGTTTTCTCAATGGTCCCTCTAAATCCGCGATACCAAGGATCCATGGGCTCCATCATTTCATTATTCAACAAACGTCTCAAGTTGGCAATGATATCTCTTGGATTGTAGTTGGGGATGTAAGAACTCCATCCAGTTCCAATTCCTTCACTACCATTGACGAGAACCATAGGTAAGACAGGCATGTACCTGCATTACGTGACCAGTATTAGCTAACACTTTCGTATTGGGTAAATTGAATAACAGGGGTCCTATAATGAGTAATTACCAAGTTGGTTCAATAGATTGCCCATCTTCACTTAAGTAGTTCAGGAGGTTGTCATCATCCTTTGGGAAGAGGAACCGTGTAATCGGCGAAAGCATCGTGTATATGTACCTAGGGCTAGCATGATCTTTTCCTCCCTGCCAAAGTAACATATTCCATGTAAGTGAAAAAAATATTGTAGACAAACTGATTATCTTCAGTGAAAAATGAAATATTCTCACCATGTTGCGGGTCCCAAATTGGCCATTCGGCATGAGAAGGTTAATGTTGTTGCTGCCTACATAATCCTGTGCCATTCCAATTATGGTACTAGCAAGACTTTGCTCACCATGATGGTATGCCGAATGCTCGGACACATAACCAGAAAACTGGGCGATTTTTGCTTCTTTGACAAAATTCCTTTTAAATGAGCAGAAAAGAATTTTCCTTTGACCTGGCTTGAGGCCATCAACCATGGAAGGAATTGATCTTTGAAGATCAGCCATAGAAAACAATATCAGCTCCTTGTTAACAAAGTCACTATACTTGATGAGCTTCTCCTTCTGATCAAGAAAAGTACCAGGCTGCGGGAAACAAAATCATAACTCCATTAAGTCACATCTAAGAATGCAACAAGTACCTCGTGTTCTTATAATTTAGACAGCACTTCCAACCTCGAACTGACGAAGCCAAGTCTTCCTTGCTTCGATCTTCTTCTTGCTAAAAGCAAGCTCAATTGCGTCTCCGTCTTGGTCATTGACCCATACAAAATCCTTC